GGGGGGGGGGGGGGGGCTTGTGCGGTGGTGCAGGCGCTGCTGCGGCCTGCTTGAGCCTTAGGCTTACCCATACAATGGATGAGCCTGGCCTGGGCCCGATGCTTGGCTGCACTCAGCTGGGATCTTGTTCATGCGCCGCCCTGGCAGCCAGCGCAAATATCCACTCAGCCAGCCGGTTCCCCCGATCTGATCAGAGACCGATGGACGCCCTGCTGCGCGTCTGCGCGCCGCCGCCCTGCCCGCACCGCAATGCAGATGAAGAAGAAGTGCTTGGTGGCGGCGGCGCTTGACCGGGCAGAGGATGAGCTGCTGGCGGGCGCGGCGCAGGGCCGGCAGCAGCTGGCCTCGCCGCATGCTCAGGCACAGGGGTGGGCACAGGCGGAGCTGCAGAACCAGCGGCAGCAGAAGGGCCCAGGGAAGCCCGCCGGCAAGGCAGCCGCGGCCGCTGCCCCGGGCAGCAAAGCCAAGACGGGCGGCGATGCTGCGGCCGCGGCGGCAGCGGCCAAGCAGGCTGGCCGTGGAGGAAAGAAGCGGGCTGCCCCCGAGCCGTCTGCATCAGGGGATGGCAGCGCCAACAGCGACGGCACGGCGGCAGCAGCCGCCAGGCCTGCCAAGCGGCAGCGCGGTCGTGCGCAGCAGGAGCCGGCGGCGCCGGGCGGTGCGGCGCTGGTGCAGGAGAAGCGCGGGCAGGGCAGGCCACGCAAACAGCAGCCGGCCTCGGTGCAGGCGCAGCGGGCAGCGGCAGATGGTGCAACCAAGGTGCAGGGGAAGCCAGGGCAGGGCAGGCCGCGCAAGGAGCAGGCATCCAAGCAGCAGCAGGGGGAGCAGCGGCAGGGGGAGCAGGGGCAGCAGCAGCGGGACGACGGCGGCTCGGGCCACAGGTACCGACGGGGCTGCACGTGCCTGCTGCAGCTTGTTTCGGGTGTTGGCCCCCTACGCATGTCTCGCCCTCACAGCGATAAGTTCCTGGCCCGTCTCCACATCCCTCCACCCGGTGCCCATCACTCCCACCATGCATTGCCTGACACAGGTCGCTGAGCAAGCACCTCAAGCCCAGGCGCCTGCAGCCACCAGGCGGGCGCCCCGCAGCATCCATCGGCGCGGCGGCGCTGCAGCAGACGCCGTCGTGGCCGCCGCCCTCATCGGCGGCTGGGGACGAAATCGGCGCCAGGTCGGGGGCCAGCGGCGATGGGGGTGATGGGGAGGGGGGCGAGCTGGACTGGGGTGCACTGGACTGACCGACTGAACTGGGCGCTGCATGCCCCTCTTGACCGATCCGGGTTGAACTTTCTTCTGCCACCAGCCTCAACCACCGAGCCACCAATCTCCATCACCCCAAGCTAGGACATGACAGATGAAACCAGAGCTGCGGTCAACACAAAGCACTAGCGGCCCCGACATCCACAGATTGGGGAGGGCAGCCTCATTCACGCATGCATGTAGGCGCGCCATCGCTGACGCTCAATCCCAGTCCTCAGGGACGATTAGCTGCGGCATACTGCTGAACAGGTGCAGCAGCACAGGGGGCTTCATCAGGGCACCCCATGTCTCTACATTCGTGCAGCGCAGCTGTCGCAGCTGCCCCATGTGCGCCAGGATGCTGTTCACATCGTCACGGGTGATGCGCATGCTGCTGGCAGTGTCGGAAAATCCCAGGCTGTGCAGGTGGGTGGCAGCCGTCAGCGCCGGCGGCAGGCGAGTGAAGCCGGCGGCGCCGAGGTGCTCCTTTAGGCCTGCTAGGGGCGGCAGGATGAGAGAGCGGTGCCACAAGTCCTGCCGCAGGGGTAAGGCATCACCAGCAAAGGCGCTCAGCCCAGTCTCCCACCTGACAGGTACGGGCCACTGGGAAGCTCAACAGGCACAGCGACCTTAACGGTCAGCTTCGACAGGCAGCGCATGCCCGCCAGCCACGCGAGAGACATCTCTGGGTCGGCGGCCAGTTTGCGACCAAAGCTCACAATCTCCAGATCTGAGAGTTGAGGCGCCTGCTGCGCGACATGCTGGAGCAGTTGCTGCATGCTGCTCCAGCTATTCCTCAGGTGCAGCATGCGCAGCGCTGGCAGCTCGACGCCCATCACTTCAATGCGGGCGCAGGCATACAACTGTATTGCGCAGAGGGCTGGCACCTCCACATGTGCGAATCTGACTTGGCTGTAGCTGTGCACCACCAGCTTCTGCAGTGCCGGCAGCTTGCTATCGGACAAGCTGATCAGCTGGGTGCCGTGATGGTGTGCCCCCCCGCTGGCCTCCACCACTTGCAGCGCTGACAGCTCCATGTCGGCCATGGTGATGCTGCTCTTACCGTCAATCTGCAGCGCCGCAAGCAGCGGCAGCGCCATATGCTCCATGGAAAGGACGCAGTTGCTGACAGCCAGTGACAGCAGGCGGGGCATCTTGCTGGTGCGGATGCTGATCTTAGATCTTGTCCAGCTCGCGAATTCCCTTCTGCCGACCTCCAGCACTTGCAGGGCTGGCAGGTCTAAATCGCTTATACTGGCACTTCCAGAGCCGCAGACTTTCATTGTCTTCAGAAGCGCCAGTGCAAATGCTGCCATGCTGACATCAAGGCAGCTGACCTCCAAAGCTAGCAGTCCTGACAGACGGGTTGAGTCTTGCCAGTCTATCTTGCTGCCACGGAGCTCCAGCTCCTCCAGCGGGGTGCACGGAGAAACCAGTGCGTCTATGAGCTGGGCCACAGGAAGAGGTTCCAGCCCACCCCTGACAATCAACTTGCCAGATCCATATGCGCAGTAATGCATACAAATCCCTGACACCTGCACAAACCACGCAGTGGCAATGAGAATGTTTGCGAGTGCGCTGGCATTGCCAATGTCAGCACGTCTCACCTGCAATGCACAACAATCACTACGATAGCCAAAACTCTTCAACCTTCCTTGCCAGGCTGTCGGCGGTGGCCATGAGGTGAATCCAGGTTGCACGTTGACATCTGCGTCGGGGAGAGGCTCGCCCTCAAAAAGGTGGAGCTCCCGCAGCCCCCTCAACCGGGTCAGCCGGCTGATGTCAGGTGGCAGCCGCTGCTGCCACGAGGTCATCTCCAGCAGCGTCAGGCTGCTCACCAGCAGGATGCTGCCAAAGACATCTGCAAGGCTGTTTGCAGCCAGATCCAGGCTGCTCAGCCGAAGTTGACTGAGGATGCCTGCCGTGGCCGGTGGCAAAGTGGCACACAGCAGCTGAAGGGTGGTTAGGCGCGTTAGATGCGCAAGTGCGTGGTCGTCAAAGAAGTCCCGGTGGATGCCGTCTGCAGCCAGATGCAGGCTGCACAGCTGCATCTGGCGGAGGGCGCCGCCTATGGCCGCTGGCAGCAGCGTGCACCGCAGCCCTAGGCTGCTGAGCGCAGTGAGGTGTGCCATTGCCTCAATGATTGGGCTGGGCAAGCTGTCCTCCACTGTTCCGCCGTCGGCATGGCAGCTCAGGTTGCACAGCTGCACGAGCCTGCTCAGTGCATCGGCCGCATAGACTGGCAGCCCCATGCTTGTGAGCTGCAGCTGGGTCAAGGCGGTGAGGCAAGGCAGCAGCTGGGCCACAACCTCTGGCAGCGGCTGCTGCCTCCACGCAACGTCCAGGACCGCCAGCTGGCTGAGCTGGCGGCACAGCTGCATCACGTCTGCCAGGGAGGCAGGGTCTGCGGGATCTTGAGAGTCGTACTCCAGAGAAAGCTCCACCACCATGCCCCCCACATGCCGCAGCAGGCGCTGGGCTGCCAGCCACTCGTGCCGCTCCGGCTGCATGCGCAACTTCAGCATTTTGGCGACACAGATGTGCAGGCCGCGCCACATCGCGGGCTCGGCATTGAAAGCGCGGTTCCACCGCTTGCACGTCAGCCTCATGTCATCCCTGCGCCGCACTGAGTTGTACCAACAAGTCAAGGGCAGGCACCCCACGAATCCAACGTGATGGCGCTGACTCTCACCCAGTGTCGTCGCGCGCCAGAGCCATCACGCGGCCCAGCAGCGCGTCGGGCAGTGCATCGATGGTGGTGGTGCCTGGGGTGGGCATGGCGCGACTGCGTCCAGGCAGCAGGGCAGGGCACCAAGGTTGCGGCGCACAGAGCACAGTGGGCGTCGCCAGCGGCTTCCCTCAGCCTGGGGACCCAAACCCCTCGACCCACGGCCCTGCACTGCCTCCTGGACTGCGTTTGCAGCTGGTGGCTCACCTTGTCTCCCCTTGCGGAGGCTGTGGCACAGAGCCAAGGAGGGCGAGGCAGCAGGAAATGGGAGAAGAGGAGCCAAAGGGTAATGAGCAGGTGAAACACGTTTGTGAACACGAACGCCTCCTCGCTTTCCTCCTGTCAGTGCCGACGTCGGCGGTGCCGCCATTTTCATTACATGATCTAGGATCGGTTTGACACCCACACAACGGGTCACTGCAGCTGCACCGACTCCACCAGGCCCGCCCCCAGGCTCAGAGCATCCCGCAGCACCCCCACCACATCCGGCACCACCGCCGCCGCACTCGGCTCGCCGTGGGGGCTCCTGCCGTTGGCAGTGCCTGCCTCCCCACTCGCAGCCTGCCACCGGCCCGCCAGCTCCTCGGCTGGACCCGCCTCGGCGCTGCCGGTAGGGCACACCAGGTGCGCTTCCTCGGGACGCAGCGGGGCGGCGGCAAACGCGGCTGCGCGCCACTTGAGCGCCACCACGCCGCCGCCGACGTAGTCTGCGCAGGCCACGGCCAGATGGCCCAGGCGGCGCTGCAGGAGCTGTGTGTAGAGCGGCAGCGGGTCGAAGCCCACCAGCAGCTCGCGCCGCACAGCGTGGTGGCCCCGCGCAGCCAGCACGCCTGCAGGGGCGGGGGAGGAGGACGCAGCAGGGTGTGGGGGCAGGGAGGAGGGAAGGCAGCAGATCAGCGCACGATGCATGACCGTGGCGGCGGGTAGGCGAGGGCTCCGCGCCTGGTGCTGGCTGTGTGGCAGGCGGGCGGCTGGGAGGGCATGCAGGCATGCGGGCGCCAGCCTCACTCTGCGGGATGCCCTTCAGTATCGCTCGGCAGTGCTTGCTGCCCGGCGCGGCCGCCGCGGCCGCCGCGGCCGCCGACAGCTGCTCGTTCGCCGCCTGCAGCGCGGGCCCCAGTGGCGGCCGACGGCCGCTGCTGCCGCCGCCGCCGCCGGGGCCACCGCTGCCGCTGGCCCTGCCTAGGCGCAGGTCGTTGGCGGCATTGGGCAGCGAGTCAGGCCTCAGGCGGATGAGGACATCATACTCGCCCAGGTCCCGACTGAACACAGCCTGCGCGGCAGCCGCCTGGGCAGCTGCTGCCGCCTCCTGGGCCGCTGCTCCGCCACCGTCGGCCGCCGCCGCTGGCGAGGCGGCGCCGTCGCCCAGCAGGAGCGCTTCCAGGGCTGCCGCCGAGCGGTGGGCCAGCACTGCGATGCGGTGCAGCACCTGCGCGCCGGGGCGGCCGGCGGTCCAGGCGCCGCCGGCGGCGTCGCGGGGCGTGGGGAGGCACAGCGCGGGGGCGGCGCTGGCGGCGCGCGCGGCGGCGTGCTGCCGCACGATGGCGTCACGCTGCGCCACGCTGAGCTCTCCGTTGGGGTCCACAATCAGCGGCTGCACGCGCCACGGGTGGTCGGCTAGTAGCTGCAGGAAACGGAGCAGGCCGGAGAGGCGCGAGGCGGGGGCCGGCGCGGCCGCCACCGCGGTCGTGCCGCCGCCGCCGCCGCCGCCGCCCGCGGGCCGCCCTCCCGCCGTGAAGCAGTGCGCCAGCAGCAGCTCCACCGCCTCCTCCCCCAGGTGGGGGCTCAGCAGGTGGGCGCCCACCCAGCGCTTGGCCAGCCGCGCCGCCGGCTCAAAGGCCGGGTTCTCTCCAGCCACGCCTGCACAGCACACAGGGCAGCAGGGGAGGGGGGAGGGGGGAAGCTGAGGTGGCATGCACACAGCAGCCGGGTGGAGGGGCAGCGGTAGCCGGCACACAGCAACCGGGAGGGGAGGAGGTGTTTAGAGAGGGGGCTGGCGTGCGTGGCGTCCTGCGGAGGCCTCCCCTGCCCCATGCCGCCGCCCGCTCACCCGAGATGGCGCCCTGGTGCCAGGTGCGCAGCGGCATGTCCTCCTCGGCAGCCACCCGCTGCCCTCCGCCTGCACGCGCCAGCCAGCAGGCACGTTTTTTGTTAACAAGTAAAGCAGCCAGGCAAGCGAGAGGCGCGCGTGGGCGGGCACGGCAGGCAGCACGGGTGGCCACGGCAGGCGGCACGGGTAGCGGGCGAGCATATGCCTCGGCCACGGGGCCCCAGGCCGCAGCAGGCAGGCAGGCAGGCGGGCACACACCCAGCTGCAGCGCCTTCTGCTGCATCGCCGCGTCGCGCTCGGTGGCCAGCAGCAGGCGGAAGGCAAAGCCATCGGACAGCACATCCACCCAGCCCTCGGCCGCCGCCGCGTGCATGCCCAGCGCGCTGTGCAGCTGCTGCGCCAGCTGGCACCCCATGGCCGCCTTCATCTTGTGGAAAGCCTCCGGGCTGTCGGGCCACTTGCCTGCACGGGCGGGCGGGGGCGGGGCAAAGGCGTGCGGGTGGTGCGGGGCAGGGTGCGTGCAGGCTCCATGGGCAGATGGCTGGTGAGGGGCACGGCGTCATGCCTGCCCGCCATGTCACACACAGCACTGGAAAGGCGGCGCAGCGCGGCAAGCAGCCTCACCTGAGCCCTCCAGCTGGCACAGCAGCTCCACAGGCTGCAGGCATCGAGCCACGTGGTCGCCGACCAGCGTGTCGGCGGCAGCCCCCGTCAGCAGCTGCGGCAGCGGCGGGAAGGCGGCCGCGTGGCGCAGCACCGGCGCCAGCGCCTGCACCGCCACCACCCGCAGTGGCAGCGAGTCGGAGGCGAGGCTGCGCAGCCGCTTGCTGCGAGGGCGGGGCAGGGGGGGCAGGGAGCAGCCGCAGGCGTTGCTGTGAGCATGGCTCGAAACACGGCGAGGCCAGGCAGGCAGGCAGCGGTCTGCCGGGGCAGCCAAGGAATGGACCTCCCTCCCCAGGCCCAGCAGCAGCCGGCTCACCCCAGCCGCTCCGCCGCCGCCTCGCACAGGCGCGCCGCCGCAACGTCCGCCTCGGGAGTGCTGTGCTTGCGGCGCAGCGCCGCATCCAGCACGCCCGCGTGGCAGGCCACGCTGGCGCCAGCTGGCAGGTGGCGGCGCAGGATGTAGCTGACCATGCTGCAACAAGGGAGGAAAGGAAGCGGCGGCGGAGGCGGTGAAAGACAGACAGGCTACCGGCAAGCGCTTGGCAGGGAGAATGCCGGACGGCCATGTCCGCGGCACGGCTGCCCACCAGCCCTGCCCGCCAGGCCATCCTCAGGAGCACTCCCCTGCGCCCCTCCCCAGCCCCCTCCCACTCCACCCCCTGCCCCCCCGCCCTCCCACCTGTCCACTACGAGGTGTCGGTGCGCGGCATCCCCCTCCCACATCAGCGCCTCGGCGATGGCTCCGTCCTGGAAGCGCCGCAGCTCGGCCTTGTCGCCCCAAAAGGCGCGGAAGGCGCGCGCCGCCTCCACCTTGTCTGCGGGCGGCCCGAGGTCGATGGAGCGAAGCGCTGCGGTGGCATCCACCTGCGAGGGGCGGCACGGGTCAAGGGTGAGGCAGGCAAGGGCGGTTGTGGTGGGCAGGCGGGGGCAGCTGGGGATGGGAGGCAGCCCGAGGGCAGCATGGTGTGGCAGGGAGGGGCATCTCAGAATAGCAGAAGAAGGTTGACAGCATGGTGTGTGTCAGACAGAATTCACCAAATTGTTACGAGCATCAGCGATGCCCCGCCCAGGCAGCCAATGCAGTCGATGCATGGCAACAGGCGCAGCGGTGCAGCGGCAGCGGTGCATGTGGCGCGTGCGCAGCATGCAGACACATCTCAGTATAGCAGAAAAGGTTGACAGCATGGTTGGTCAGGAGAATTCACCAATTGTTGAGCATCATTGACGTGTGTGTCGATGCAAGCAGCAGGCACGGCCAGGCGGCATGCAGGGGCAGCATGCGGGATGCAGGGCGGAAAGGACGGGGCGCATCTCAGGTATAGCAGAAGAAAGTTGACCGCATGGGTATGCTCAGACAGAATTCACCAAAAGTTTTCAGCATCACTGATGCGCCGCCCAGGCGGCTGGTGCACTAGAGGCATGGCCAGCACAGCAGCAGCGACGGCAGTATGCGAATGGCAGGGTGCACCGGCAGCTGCAGTGTGCGGCACGTGGCAGCCCTGGCAGCGGCCACGCAAGCCCAGCACAGCCCAAGCGCACCTGCACCCCGAGCAGCACGTGCCGCTGCTCCGGCCGCGCCGCGCCGCTCCTAAACGGCGCCGCGCCGCTGCCCGCCGCCTGCTGCTGCAGGGTGCGGCGGAAGGCTCGCACGAGGCGCGCGCGGGTGCCCAGCGCTTTGGCCGCCAGCGCCTCCACCCGCTGCTCCACAGACCTGCGCAGCGAGGGGAGGGCAGGGGAGGCGCCACGGCGCCCATCACTTCAAGAAACAAGAAAGTTGTTGAGGAGGAAGCAGGGCGGCATGGCGTGCAGGGGTGCAACGGCCGTGGCCGCCAAGTGCGCCGGCAGCATGGCGGCGCAGGCGAGCCAGGCGGGGGAGGCTCACCGCCAGGCGGGCTGGTCCTGCTGCAGGTCCTGGCAGCCGCCGCCGCCGCTGCCGCCGCTGCCCGCCGCCGCCGCCCCGCCGGGCAGCGCCACATGGAACCAGTAGTCGCAGAGCGCGGCGCGCTGCTGCCGCGCCAGGAACACGGCGCCAAAGGCCTCGGGGGCGCCGCCGCTGAGCAGCTGCAGGCTGCGGCTGGCGGCGCCCCGCGCCTGCGCCAGCGCCGACCTGGACACCGCCGCCGCCAGGTTGAGCCAGCCGGAGGAGTCCACAAACACCACCTCAAAGGCCCGCCGCCAGGCCTTGGCCTCCGGGGGGACGGCGCCGGCGCTGGCGGGCACGCGGCGCTGCATGAAGAGGCCTGGGGTGAAGGTGCGGGGCCTGGACAGGGTCACCAGCACCGCACGGAAGAGGTGCATGGCAGACATGGAGGCAGTCTGCGCGGCAGGAAGGCAAGGCAAGGGCGGCAGGCTGGGGCGGGGTGAGCGGGGCGGCGCAGGCAGCGTGCGAGCATGCGGCCGGGGACCGATGCGAGGCGTGGGGGGCTCAGAATTACCCAATCAATAGAATGTGAGTCGGATCACGGGTGGGATCAGATCATCTTTGCGCATTCTCGACTCGTCCCAGCCCCCCGTGCAGCAGGCAGGCATGCAGGCAGGCAGGCACAGCAGACACGGGCAGGCAGGCAGCAGGCGCGGGCAGGCAGGGCCCACTCACCGCCTGCCCGCCCTGCACCAGGTGCACCAGCAGCAGGGTCAGCACGCAGCCGCCGAGCCCGTCGGCGCTCTGGCTCAGCTGCTGCTGCCGCGCCCACACCCGCAGCAGCGCCGCCGCGTCCGCAAAGTGGGGGCAGCTGGCGGCGGCGACCCGGCACTCCTCCGCCAGCGGCATCATCAGCAGGTCCTGCGCCAGGGAGGGGCGAAGGCAAGGGAGGGCAGGCTGGGCAGGCTGCACAGCGTGGCAGCCAGCAGGCGAAGCGGCGGGGAGGCCCCGCGGTGGTGCATGCAACTGCGAGGTGGTGCAAGAGCGTCCAGGTGCGAGGGGGTGGGGCGGCCGTGGCCTGGGCTCAGAATTACCCAATCAGAATGTGTGTGGCATCACCGGCAGTCAGCCAAGAGTGACAATGCGCATTCGAGTCTCGTCCTTGCCCGCCACGGCAACGCCCCACGCCCCACGCCACGCCTCCCACCCCCGCTGCCGCCCAGCAGCTGGAGATGCACGCGGCAGCTGGCGCACAGAGCATATGCACGTGCACAGCGGCGACACAGCAGGAGGCGGAGGCAGGGCCAGAGGGCCTCACCTGCAGTACCGAGGTGTTGTAGTGCGGCGTGGGCAGCAGCCGCGGCTCCGCCGGCTGCGCCGGCGCCTCTGCTGCCACCGCCACCTTCCCCTTCCCGTTGGGCTGCTGCGGCTGCTTGCCTCCCTTGGCACCCTTGGCCGCCTTGCCGCCCTTGCCACCCTTGCCTGCTTTGCCGGCCACGCCGCCGACCTGGCCGTCTGCTGCTGCTGCTGCTGCCGCCGGCGCCGCCGCCGCCGCGGGCGGGGCAGCTGGCGCCGGCGCCGGCGGCGCCACCGCCGTGCGCAGGTTGTTGCGGTCTGGCGCCAGGCGCGGCAGCGGGCACAGCTCCGGCGGCGCCGCCGGCAGCAGGCGGATGCAGAAGCCGCCCGGTGTCTGCCGCGGGTGCAGCACCAGGGCTGGGCGGCGAGGGTCGTCGGCCAGGCACTCCCACCCTACGCCGCTCAGCTGCGGGTGGCCCCGCAGCGCCGCCGCCACGTGCGCCAGGTAGAGCGCCCGCTTGGCAAAGTACCTGCTCAGGGAGGCGGGGCCGGGCGCTTGGCCAGGCGGCAGCTGGCACGGCGGAGGCGGTTCCAGAGCCAGTCCATGCGCCTGCCTCATGCCTGGCAATACGATGAGCTGCACAGTGCTCCACAGCCCCGCCTCGCACCCCCATCCTGGCCCCCCCACCTGTGGTTGAGCTGGTCCTTGCTGTCGAAGCAGGCGGCGGGCATGAGCAGCGAAAGGTCCAGGCAGGGCGAGGGGCGCAGCGCGGCGCGCAGCCCAAAGCTGCCCACCACTTGCACGCGGGTGGGGGCGCGGAACACAAACGGGCGCTGCACGGCGTGGAGGAGGAGGCGCAGGAGGCGGGTGGGCAACCATGTGCTGGGCAACCATGCTGGCTGGTGTTGCGACCAGAGCAGTGCACCACCCAGCGGCAGCTCCAACGCCAAACTGACCAATGCCAAACCCATCACCCCCACCCGGCTCACCACCGGCTGGAAGGCGAGATCCGACAGGAAGCCGCGGACGGCGGCGGCCTCCCGCGCATCCGGCGCCACCTCGGCGTCGGGCAGCGCGCGCAGCAGCGCCGCCAGCGACCGCACCAGCTCCAGCAGCGCTGCCTCCAGCCCGTGGTCAGGGCGTGCCTCCTTCAGCAGCTCCTCAACCTCCAGCTGCATCAGGCTGGCCGCCGCCTCCTCGCTGGCGTCAATGTGGGCCGCCGTGGCAGCAGGCGCCCCGCAGCCGCCGTGGTGCAGCGCGCCCGTCACCAGCTCCAGGCCCAGCGACTCGCTGCCATCCACGCGCCGTTTCTTGGCTTGCGGCTGGGGCTCCTCGGCCTCGCTGCCGCTGTCCTCGCCTTCAGAGGGGCTGAGGAAGCCGCCGCTGCTCTCGCTGCCGCTGCCCACTTCGTCATCGGAGTCGCCGCCCATGGAGGACGGTGCTAGTGTTGGCTGGGCAAAATGTTGAGCCGCTAGCAGGCACCCATGCATGCCATCCGCCTGAGGGTCAGGGGAGAGCCGGAAGCAAACGCCGTGCCTGATCCAATTCGGCAATTAATATGATGACGCATGCAGACTGGGGCGGAGTTATGAGATTGCCGAGAACTGTACTTCGCACGGGCATTCAGAGCTATCAAAACTCTTCAAATTTGGGCACGCCTACTAGAGATCAGCACAATTGGGTCACCTCTACTAGAGGCGTCACCCCCTGCAAAAGTTGGACACCCAAACTCACTCAACTCGTCGCCGCTGCACTCCTTCTCCAAGCAAACCATTATCCCGAGTACACCTCCTGCACGGCTGCCGCCGCCACCAGCTGTCTGCGCTTCAGCCGCCGCCGCCGCCACCGCCACCGCTGCAGCCGCCCATGGCCAAGCCCCTGCGCCAGGCGCGGGCCGTGGCGCGGCTGGTGTTCAACTGGTTCCGCCACGACCTGCCCGAGATTGTGGCCCCCTCCTCCATGCCAGACCCGCCTGGCATCAAGCGGCCGCCACGCAAGACGCGCGCCGAAATGCAGGCGGTGCGTGGGGACCCAGCCTCGCCACGTCCTTGCACTGGCATCATTCCAGGCTTAGTGTAGGCCCTGCTTGCGAGCGCTGGGCGTGGTGGTCGCCCTGCGGGCGATCCCCTCGCCGCTCCACCCCTGCCCGCCGCTCCAGTACCCCTGCCCCCTGGTTGCTTCGCAGCTGTTCCTGCGAGCGTGCCGGAGGTACGTCGAGACGTGGGACTCCAAGAAGATGCAGGCGCAGCGCGCAGCGCGGGAGCAGGAGCACACGACGGAGCGGGCGGTGCGGCGGCAGGTGGAGGGGCCCACCCTGGCTGAGGAGTTCGGTGCGCCTGCCGCAGCCGCCTCTCTCTGGTGCTGCCGCTGCCTTGCCCAGCCTTGGGTGTCCTCGCAAACTTGTCGCTGCTGTGCCTCAGCTGCCAAGCTTATTGCATGCATCCCCATTCTGTCAACTCGCCAGATCCTTGTTGTGATCACCTATCTGCGCCCCGCCACTTCCTGCCACCCTGCAGCCGCGGCGGCCAAGGGCGGCGGCCAGGCGCTCAAGCCCTTCCTAGCCAGCCTGTACCAGACGCGGGCGGAGGCGTACAGGGACGCTGTGCAGCAGTTTGTGGGGGGATACAAGCAGGGGTTCCAGCAGGCCATGCGCCCCCAGGTGCCACCAGATGTTGTGGGGGAGATGGCGGCAGGCGGGAAGGCAGCAGCAGCAGAGACGGGAGGGGCCGTGGCAGCTGATGCAGGAACGGCGCACCTGGCACCAGCCCAGGCCACCACGAGCAGCAGCAGCAGCAGCACTACAGCAGCAGCGGATGAACCAGCAGGGACAGCACAAGCACAGCGAGAAGGCTTGCACAGCACAGCAGCGGAGCAAGCAGGGCCGTCGGCCAGCCAGCAGCTGCCGGAGCCACCCGACGAGGCGCCAGGACAGCAGCAGGAGCAGCAGCCGGCCGGCAGCAGCAAACCTCCAGCTGTCGGTGCGGGCCCGGCGGCCTGACGGCTCCCATACGCGTCTTTGTTGCATGCCAGCTCGTCCATGTTACATGAATATGAGTGTAAACCACGCCAGTCACAAATGCAACACGTTTTCACATGGCTGGCGTGCTTGGGCCGCCGCCGGCTACCGCGCTTAGCCTGCGGGTGCCTCAGGACATGAAGAGTTGGCGGTAGGGCCCGTTTGACAGCTTGCAGAGCTCGTTGTAGTTGGACAGGTCTGCGGGAGGGCAGGCAGGGCGGGGCAGTGCAGAGCAGTGTGAGCGGGCGGGCGATGGCAGAGCGAGGCGCCGCTCCCAGCCTTGCGGCCAGCCCGGCAAGGCCTTGCTGCATGGACCATGCTGCCCCTCTGCCACCAACTCGACCTGTGCACGCAACCGCACGCACCAAAGTTGTCGCCAAAGGAGCAGCTGGCCTCCCCTGTGAGCGTGTTGGGGCTGGCCACCACGCCCTCCACCTCGAGGAACGTGCACTGCGGCAGTGGTGGCGGGCGGCGGTGAGGCAGGCGGGGTTGTCGGGCAGCTGGCTGAGAAGCAACAGCTTGGCAGTCAAGTGTTGCCGCCAGCACCGCAAGCTTGCTTGCGCCCCTGTCTGCCGCCGACGCCCGACCGCACTGGCGGGCGCACCTGCGGCACCGCGGCGCCCTGCAGGTTGACGTTCACTAGGCCGTCGTCTGACGTCTTCAGCCGCAGCGTGCTGCCCTCCACGCCCTCGACCCGGCCCACAATCGTGACCCGCTTGCCGATGTGCTGCCCCATGAGCGCAAAGTTCACCCGAGGGGCGGGAGCGGTGACGTCCAGGCTGCTCATTGCTGCTGGCTGCTGCGGGGGAGGGTGGCGGGGCGCGCCGGCCGGCAGAGTTTGAAAGCGGTGGTGGATGACAAGCCCTGGGGCCGTGATCAGGTGGCGGTGCAAAGGACGGTAGCAGCAAAGGTCACCTGGGGCGGCGGGGGTCCTGGGGGAGAGCAATTTGTTGTTCCTGCTGAGCGTGCTATGAGTGGGGCGTAGTGCTCCTAGTGGGCCGTAGTGCTGCAGAGCGGTATCTCTGTCGCAGGCAGCGATAATTGCACCCAACTGCTCAATGCTGCACCAGCAACCTGACGATAGCAGGATGCTGCCGCAAACCCCGGTCAAGCATGGGCCGCCACAGTGTTTCTGGCCCTCGTGGCAGCTTTGGCGATGGGCGGGCGATGAGGACTGCTGTCGCGTCCAAATTTCGCCAATCAGCTGGCGATGGCACATTTAGGATTGGCGAAATGCGGGGGAGCCACCCTTGCGCCTGGCACAGCGCAGCGGCCACATGCGGCGCCGCTGTTGCTTTGTCGGCACTTGCCTCCCTTTTGGGGGACTGGGGGCGAAGCCCCCAGCAAGCTGGCGCTTGTTTAACACTATGGAATGAAGTTCCTGAGGAAAATTGGCCATTTCTCCTCAAACTAGGGGTGAGCTGTTGAGCTGGCTTGGGCGGGCGTCGCTGGTGTGAAGGCAGCAAAGCAGTGTGCAGAGTCTCAGATGGGAAGCAAGCGAAGTGCACTCCTGTGGGAGGACTTCAGATGGTTCAGAAAGCAGGGAATTGCGTCGAGTAGCGGCCATGGCAGGGCGAGGCGAGCAGGGCTGCACGCTCGGTGGTGGTGACGGCGGCGGCGCCGGCGGCGGAAATCTGTGAAGCGCACCAGGCGAGGCTCGGTGTTTTTGTACACGTAGTTGCTGAAGAGATCCTGCCCAGCCAATTGCAGGCGCCGCTTTGCTTCCTTCTCAATGCGGTACTCTTTGAAGTACCTGTAGAAGGTGCAGGCAAGCAGCGCAGCCGGGCGCGCCTTGTACAGCTCTACTGGATGCACTGCCACAACGCCGGTGCGCAGCACGGCGCGCTGCCGCAGGTCAGGGGGCGAGGAGTCGTAGAAATCAACAGCACAGCTGCGTTTGATGGGGCTGATCTCAAGAAGGGACAATGCACACACTGTGGCACACACAGGGCGACAGCAGACAAGTGCGTTGACAACTGCCAGCTGTGTTTCACTGAGGCCATGCTTGTGTGGGCTTAAAGTCTGGTAAAGCAAGAACTAGCTTGCAACATAGACTCCCCGCCGAAACGGGACGGGAACCGGGCGAAAGCAGAGAAAGCAATAAAACAGGGGTGGAGCAAGGCGACATGCAACGCAAGCAGCTGACAGGGCACGCATCGAAACGTGTGTATGACTGGCAAAGTGGCATGGCGCATTGGGGAGAAACGCAACGGTACGGGAGCATGGGCTGGCCAAACGGCAGTGCGGATCGTTAGGTCACTAGAAAAGCAGGGAAAGGCGCACTATGTATGCAATGAGGGCAGCCCCGGCTCGGGGCCGTTGAGAAAGCAGTGGGCGGGAGGGGGGAGGCCCCGGTGTGGGCGGGCCCCATCGAGGGGGGATGGGGCGCGCAAGCGGCCAGATGGGGCGGGGCGCGGGCGGCAGTGGAGTCCTGCGGCTGGGTGGGATATAGGGCAATGAGCGTTGAGCAGTGTGCGATGAGCAATGAGCAATGAGCAGTGAGCAGCCCCTCCCTAAACAAAGTGAAGCGCAGGACGGGGTCCGGTGGATGGGAGGCAAGGAAACGCGGGGGGTTGCCACGTGCGCTACCGCCGCCGCCGCAGGCAGCACCCCTGCGGCGGCGGCAGCGGCAGCAAGCCGTGGACCCAAACGCCGTGCCGCCGCCGCCGCAGGCAGCACCCCTGCGACGGCGGCGGCAGCAAGCCGTGGACCGAAACTCCGTGCCGCCGAGTCCCGTGGCTGTGGCCGTGGGCTTCTGGCAGGAAACTACGGCCGCAGCTCGGCAGCACGGGGGCGTCGCAGCGTGCCGCCGCCGCCGCCGCGCTGCCCCCCGGGCACGGCGGCGGCGGCAGCAAGCTTGGGCCCAAACGCCGTGCCGCCGAGTCCCGTGGCTGCGACCGTAGACCGTGGGCCGGAAACTGCGGCCGCAGCTCGGCGGCACGTGGTTCTGGTCAAATCGCCAAGCGTGCAGCAGCGCCGAACCACGCTTCCCGGCCTCGGCGCATGCCTTCAGGGGCCCCCTATCGCTGGGCACACCCCTCCAACACCGAACATGCGCCCGGGGGGGAGGGCGGCCCGGGCTGCCCAGGCCAAAGTGGGCCGCCCTCGAGCAAGAGGCGGCCGGGCTGTGTGCTGAATGAATGAATGAATGAATGCAGACCCATGCGGCTGGCGTTGTCTGCTGTGACGATGAGGCTGCCAGACGGCTCTGTTTTCGTTGTGTACTTCAGCAAGTAGCGCGACCAGTTTTCGTTGGTTACGCGTTGCACATTCATGTGTGCACCCCACAGCAGCAGCACAAGAGGGTGGTAGGGGACCACGTTTCGGTCCTGAGTGCGGGGTCGGTAGTACACCCAGCGGCGCAGCTCTGGGTTGTAGCAAGCATCGCCATCATGTGGCGGGAATGGGAATTTCATGCGGCACTTCTTGTTTTGGGTGTCTCGGCATCCTTGCCCCGGCGTGCTGCACGTGTGCAGCTGCTTCCGCATGACCAACCGGAAGAGAGCCAGCTGGTGAGTGTCGGCGGGCGGCACCCACTCCTCTGCTGCGGCATCCCACGTGGCTGGCACAGCTGCAGTGATCTCTTGCGTGGTTTGCTCAACATCATCAGGATGCAGCCACAGACATATGTGTGCATGGCAGCTGCCCCTTCCCTGCACCTCCAGCCTGACGACATAGTGCTGCACACGGCCTAGCAGGTGGTGTCTGCCATCCAGTATGAGTGCGTTCAAAAAGGTGGTGAGCCTGTCGTAGAAAAGGCGGGCACACTCCACTGGTGCATCCTGCCAGTCCAAGGTTTCGTCCCAGTTGTGCAACAGCCATTCAATGTCCCGCACCTCCTCCCAGCGTGTTTCGCTGTGCTCGTCAGCCGTGAGCGTGAGGAAAAGGTGTGGCAGTCCCCACTCATCCACCATGCACATGAGGTCCTTCAGCTGCCGCTTGTGCCAGGCAGGGCTGCCGCTAATCGATGCAGGCACACATTTAGCGACGTGTCGCATGACTTCCTCTTCACTGGCGTCCGGGTGCTGTGCGCGATACCGTGCAATTTCCTTTTCCATGCACACGGTCTTCACCGCGTTTGCTAGCAGCACTGCCTGCTTGATTTGGTACATCATCAGCACAAAGGGAGTCTATGTTGCAAGCTAGTTCTTGCTTTACCAGACTTTAAGCCCACACAAGCAACAAGCAAAGGGCTTGTACAGCGTGTAGATGGAAAACAGCTGCGAGCAACGCATCTTCAAGTAATCTATGAGGTTCCAAGCAGCACCCGTGAAAAACCCACGCCCAAATGGGAACAGGAACGGGAACATAGCGCTTTCTGCTGTGATCTGCTCGGCGGCGGCAGATCCAGGCGGTGTGCCATCTGGGCGAGTTAGCAACCGCCGAGGCTCGAGTGTGTCGCGCAGCACCATTTCCCCAGCAATGTAGATGTTGTGAGACGCAGATGGTGCCTTGAGCGGAGGACCAGCTGATGTGACGGCTGTGAGCGCTGCGGGCACCCAGTCCTGTTCCATGGCCTCCCCGAGCGGCATTCTTTCGATGGCCTTTTTCAGGATGCCAGCCACAGCCTCTGCTGTCAGTATGGGAAAGCCGCGAGTGTGGTGCGGGGTTTCCAGCAGCGTGGCGTGGCGCTGAAACAGTGGATTGTGCTGCAAGTTCCAGCCCAGCAGGTCCTGCACAGCGCCGGCCACGTGTGCGGCACCCGGTGCTGGCGCATCCCCCCACCGCACCAGAGGCCCGTCAAGCAAGCTGTGGCTTTGCCAGGCCCCCTCGATGAAGCCCTTGTACCGCTGTGTCAAGCCTAAGTTAACGTCAAGCAGGCCCAACAGCTGCGTTTCTGCCGGGTCGCATGCGAACAACATCTGCCCGTAGTGCACCGAAACAGTGGTCAGAAAGGAAGTGCGTGTGGCGCGCATCTGGTCGTTCATGCATGCAGGGCAGCAGTACCACTCGTCCCCCTGGGTAGTGAAGTCAGCCAGAGCTGGGTTTGCCAGCATGGCGGGCGGCACGTCCTCGGCGCTGGGCGGTGGCACCAGCTCGAACATGCGAAGGTGGCCGTCAGTAGCAGTGGTGCCCAAGGACACCACGCCACAGAAAGCGCAGCAGCAAAGCCCCATGATTAGCATGGAAGAGAGCCGTGCCCATTTTTGGGCGAGCACGCTGGCATTGTACCAGCTTCGGCTGTACACACCAGCAGCGCGGTCGCGCTGCCGGGTGCGTGCGTGCGCCCGCTCGCGTGCACGCTTGCGGCGCTCCCGCCGCTCAGCCCTGAGCTGGTCAGGAGTGATGTTGAAAGGGCCGGGCATGACAACCCCCTCTCAACGAGCAGCAGGGACTGGAGTAGAAACGGGCAGCAAGGCACGCACCTTTGCAGGGTGGGTGGCGGCTCCGCAGACGGGTGGCAAACGAGGGCAGTCCTGCGAACAGGGGGTGATGCGTGCATGTGTATTGGCATATGTGCTGAGGTGTGGTTCGCAGCATCACTGTGAGCGCGTGGCAGGCTGGCAGCAGAGTCCTGCACACATGGGGTAAATCGGAGCGCGCGTGCGTATGCGCATATGTGCAAGGTCAGTAACCGCAGAATTGTCGGCGCAGCGTCACTGTTTGGCACACCGGGTGCCGCCGGTTCGAGAAGCCATGCGGCATGATGGTGCCGCATGCCCAGTCAAGCGGCCCTGAGCACGGCCCCGATCACAAAGCTGTGTCATTAGTTCACTCGCCACGTGCATCACAAGTGCGCCGTGCGCGGCACACTGCCTGGCGGGCTCCCAGCAGCAACCCAAACACCCTGCCAAGCGAGTTCTGGTTCTCTTGCCTACCTGCGTAGTGAGAAACGGTACGCAGTGAAGCCAGGCGCGCTGGGCAGCGTAAATCTTGAGGTCGCCAGTCTGGCGGATGGGGTTCTCGAACCTCGAGCTCGCACCTTTGCAGGGTGGGTGGCAGCTGCGCGGACGCGCGGCAGGCGACGGCAGCAGAGTCCTGCACACATGGGGTAAAGCGGAGCGCGCGTGCGTATGCGCATATGTGCAAGGTCAGTAACCGCAGAATTGTCGGCGCAGCGTCACTGTTTGGCACACCGGGTGCCGCCGGTTCGAGAAGCCATGCGGCATGATGGTGCCGCATGCCCAGTCAAGCGGCCCTGAGCACGGCCCCGATCACAAAGCTGTGTCATTAGTTCACTCGCCACGTGCATCACAAGTGCGCCGTGCGCGGCACACTGCCTGGCGGGCTCCCAGCAGCAACCCAAACACCCTGCCAAGCGAGTTCTGGTTCTCTTGCCTACCTGCGTAGTGAGAAACGGTACGCAGTGAAGCCAGGCGCGCTGGGCAGCGTAAATCTTGAGGTCGCCAGTCTGGCGGATGGGGTTCTCGAACCTCGAGCTCGCACCTTTGCAGGGTGGGTGGCAGCTGCGCGGACGCGCGGCAGGCGACGGCAGCAGAGTCCTGCACACATGGGGTAAAGCGGAGCGCGCGTGCGTATGCGCATATGTGCAAGGTCAGTAACCGCAGAATTGTCGGCGCAGCGTCACTGTTTGGCACACCGGGTGCCGCCGGTTCGAGAAGCCATGCGGCATGATGGTGCCGCATGCCCAGTCAAGCGGCCCTGAGCACGGCCCCGATCACAAAGCTGTGTCATTAGTTCACTCGCCACGTGCATCACAAGTGCGCCGTGCGCGGCACACTGCCTGGCGGGCTCCCAGCAGCAACCCAAACACCCTGCCAAGCGAGTTCTGGTTCTCTTGCCTACCTGCGTAGTGAGAAACGGTACGCAGTGAAGCCAGGCGCGCTGGGCAGCGTAAATCTTGAGGTCGCCAGTCTGGCGGATGGGGTTCTCGAACCTCGAGATACGGTGCAAAGGGCAAGCACCTTTCGGCAACGTCTCACGTCGTTCTGGCCGGAATGGCCCCGAAGTGCGGAAAATGTGGCGGACTCGCTGCGGGACGCCGATTTACAGCGGATCGGGGGGTGATGACGTGGCGCAACGAGAGAGCAGAACGGCTCAGATGTCTCCAAGGCAACAGCCTAAATATTGGCGATGTCAGTCATGGGGGCTGGCGACGCGCTGGCGATGTCGCCCCGCCGCCTGCCCTCATTTAGCCAGCTCTGGCTGGCGATGGCCTTCGGCCAATCGCCAGCCAGAGCCGTTTTTTGGCCCGATTTCGCCAGCATTTGGCGATTTCGCCAGCTTTCAGAAACACTGGGCCGCCAGGTTCTACCGCGGTGCCGCGGATGCCTGCCCCTCGCCGGCGCCTGGGCAAGCAGCCTCTCCTGAAATAAGCTTGTGCGTGCCTGCCTGTGTTTGCTACATGATGAGGTAAATGTCTGGCTGTTGCCACCTACGGGTGAGCTGGGTGACGGGGAGGCGCCAGCTTGGCCTGGTGGAGCCTTTCCCCCCTCAGAGGCTCTTCTGCACGCTCTCTTCATCTGTCTGCACCTCTTGGCACCATGGGGCAGCACGGAGGCAAGGCCCAAGACGGCCAATCTAGCAGGTTTGTGGCGCTGCAGGGAGCATCAATGCCCAGGCCGGGGGCACCTTGGTGCCTCGGAGGTGTCTGCGGTGTATGCGTTTCTCCCCAATGCGCCATGCCACTTTGCCAGTCATACACACGTTTCGATGCGTGCCCTGTCAGCTGCTTGCGTTGCATGTCGCCTTGCTCCACCCCTGATTTATTGCTTTCTCTGCTTTCGCCCGGTTCCCGTCCCGTTTCGGCGGGGAGTCTATGTTGCAAGCTAGTTCTTGCTTTACCAGACTTTAAGCCCACACAAGCAAGCAAGCAAGCATGCGGGCAGCTCAGCGCATGCTTGGGACTGGGTCTGCAGCAAGCATGCTGGCACAGAGAAGGCTGGACCCACCGCTCTTCCCCACCCTGCGTACAGCAACGTCAATCGTGCATACGATGTGCTCAAGAAGCTCACTCCCAAGGCATGCGGCGGGCCCCGTCTGGAGGAGCAGGCCTGCAGGCGGCGCTCCGCCAGCGCCTGCCCAGATTCCCAGCTTCCTGCCACGCTGACTGCTTTGAATCTGGCCCTTGCTTTCGTGCAGCTGCTCATCGACGGCAAGTGGGAGGATGCGGCGGGCAGCAAGACCTTTGAGGACCTCGACCCGCGCACGGGTGAGGAGCGGGGCAGACAGGGCGACTGCAACCGCCAGACCAAGCCTGCCACCTGCCGGCGCCCGGCTGTTAGCTTGCACCACATCTCGTCCCCTGCGCACTGCCAGGAGAGAAGCTTGTGGATGTGGCGGAGGCGCAGGCTGAGGATGTGGACCGCGCAGTGCGGGCCGCCAAGAAGGTGAGCAGGCACCTCGCCGCCAGCAGCCGTTCTTGGGCTCACTACCGGCTCGCCGCTGCTGTGATGCTCCTACAGTGTCTGCCCTACTTTCCTTTCAACCTCGGGTACCCGCCGCAGGCCTACGACGACGGCCCCTGGCCGCGCATGACTGCTGAGAAGCGCAGCCGCGTGATGTTCCGCCTGACGGACCTGGTGGAGGTGCGGCACCGGTGGCGGCGCGGGTGGCACCAGGCCTGGTGGCAGCCAGCCTCGCCAGTGCCCTGGCTGCCTGCCCGTGGAGCAGAGCTGACTGTCTGCGCCCACAAGCGCTGCAGGAGCATGGGGATGAGCTGGCGCTGCTCGAGTCGCTGGACAACGGCAAGACCTACACCCAGGCAGGGTTTGCGGTGGTTTGCTGCTGCCGTGCCCTGAGCTGCACAGTTGCCTGATGTCACCCTCTCATTAGTTGGCTGGCTGGCTGAGCATCTTGCGACGTGGTTAGGTGGTCGGGCAGCATCCCCACCCTTGATGCAGAGCAAGACGATCGATGTCCCCGGCACCGCGCAGCACTTCCGCTACTTTGGCGGGTTCTGCGACAAGATTGAGGGTGAGCCTGTCGGCTGGCTGCAGCAGCTTCAGTATCGCAGCTTGCCCGTATGGCAACCCCTCCTCTTCCCGCTCCCCACACCTGCCCCCTTCCGCCAGGCTCCACTATCCCCGTCGCCCAAGAGGGCTTCACTGCCTACACGCTGCGTGAGCCCATTGGCGTGGTCGGCCAGGTGGGGGGACGCACACCTGCCTGGCCCCGCCCCACCTGCCTGTTGCTGCCTTGCCGACTGGTGCCTCTTCCTGCGCAGATCATCCCTTGGAACTTCCCCATCCTCATGGCCGGCTGGAAGCTGGCCCCCGCGCTGGCCGCCGGATGCACCATCGTGCTCAAGGTGGGGGCCCTGTGCCCTGCCGCTGGGCAGCAGCCAAAGAAGGGTGCCCGCCCGCATGCTCCGCTGACCGTCTGCAGCGTGTGCATGGGCTTCCTCACCTCCGCACCGTGTACCGCCTGCGCAGGTGTCCCAGTACACCCCGCTGAGCGCGCTGCGCCTGGGCGAGCTGGCCCTGGAGGCGGGCGTGCCGCCCGGCGTGCTCAACATCCTGCCCGGCAAGGGCAGCGTGTGCGGCGACGCCCTTGCCACCCACCCGCTACTGGACAAGGTCGCCTTCACCGGCTCCACAGATGTGGGCAGGAGGATCATGGAGGGTGAGGGGAGCAGGGGGTGGCATAGGCATACGGAGTGGGCGGCGGTGTGTGCTAGGTGCAGGGACATGGGGCGCACTCCGGAGGCTGCTGCCGGCTGGGCGGGTCCCCGCCAGACGCCCGCCACCTCGCCCCCTGCCGTGCTTGAGGCCAGCCCGACCGCCTCCCAGCCGGCACCCAGCCCTGTCCCCTGCCTGCTGCCCGCGCAGGCGCCTCCCAGCACATCAAGCCCGTCACGCTGGAGCTGGGCGGCAACTCGCCGGTGGTGGTGTGCGGCGATGCCGACCTGGAGGCGGCGGTGCGGGGCGCCCACGAGGCCCTCTTCTTCAACATGGTGGGAGGCTAAGCGGGGGTACTGCAGGCTGGGGCGGATAGGGCGGGGGTGTTTGCCTGCCCGCATGCTTGGCCACCTCGGCGCCTGCCTCGTGCAGCAAGTGGCTGCATCACCCTGCCATAACAGCCGCCCACCCGTGCCCCGGCGTACGTGCAGGGGCAGGCGTGCGAGTGCGGCGCGCGCCTGTTTGTGCAGGAGGGCATTTACGATGAGTTTGTGCGCCGCTCCATTGAGCTGGCCAAGAACCGCAAGGTGGGCTGCAGCCCACCCGGCCAGGCTGGTTGCAGGCGCACAGCCGCGCATCTTGCTGGGGGTGCGGTGGGCGGCTGCCCCCTCTATGCTGTTGTGAGGAGCATGCTGGGCTTTGCTAGGCTTTGTGATTCCGCCCGGGCTGCAGGTGGGGGATCCCTTTGACGAGACCAGCACCCAGGGCCCTCTGGTGTCTCAGGTGGGGCGCTGGTCGGCCAGAGCGCGCCAGCAGCAATGCGCCGTGCTGCTGACCTGTGCCTGCTCGCCTCCCTGCTACCCTTGGGACTGCCCTAACCCTGTGCTGCCTTGCCTGTGCCTCCTGGCTGGCCTGTGCCTGTGCAGAAGCAGGTGGACAAGGTGCTCAAGTATGTGGAGCTGGGCAAGAAGGAGGGTGAGTGTGGGTGGGCCCGCACATCGGGATTGACGGCGGGCTTGGCAGGGGTGGAGTCCTGGGTGCATGCCTAGCCTGTGGCCCAGCCCCGCTGGCCCAGCCCGCGCTGGGCATGCTCAGCCGAGCTGCGCTGCCTGACTTGCCCCTCGCTGTTGACATCCTAGGTGCCAAGCTGGGGTGCGGCGGCGGGCGCTGGGGTGACCAGGGCTTTTACGTGGAGCCCACACTGTTCTATGATGTGGAGGATGACATGGCCATCGCCAGGTGCGGCGGAATGGCCCAGGCCGGGTGCGGGCTGGGCGCTGCACAGCGGGACGGCTATGCGCATGACCGCGGTGCAGGCATGGGAGTCTGGGCCCACCCGGCATCCCCCCCACCTGGTGCTCCCCCCCCCGCGCAGGGACGAGATCTTTGGTCCGGTGCAGGTCATCCTCAAGTTCGGCACCATCGACGAGGTGGGCGGGGCAGCAGCTGGGGAGGATGGCTGGCTGCCTGGCAGGGCGTACAGTGCTCGCCGCCGCTTTGCTACCCATGCTTATGCTTTGTGTGTTTACAGTGCATATCCGCAAATATACTTGCGACACTGAGACAGACCTTGCCCAAGCACCGCCGACCTCACCCTCTTGTGTGCCTGCCCTGCAGGTGATCCGCCGCGCCAACGCCACCGAGTACGGCCTGGCGGGTGCGGTGTGGACCCAGAGCATCGACACCATGCAGGCGCTGACGCGCGGCATCAAGGCCGGCACTGTCTGGGTGAGCCGTGGGTGCTGGGCTGGCAGCAGGGGCCTGACGCACCTGCATTCCACTGACACCCGCCTGCTGGCAACACTGCCCACCTGGGAAGGTCAACACGCACCACGTGATGGATGCGGCGGTTCCTTTTGGTGGATACAAGAGCAGCGGCTACGGGAGGGAGCACGGCGGCGCAGTGCTGGAGCACTACACACAGGCAGGCCGCTGTGCTTACCCCGGGATGCTGCTTGTGTCTAAAGGTCGCTGTCGTCTGGCCACCCAGGACCAGCGCTCAGCCGCTTCTTACAAGCAGCAGGAGCAGTCTCCAATGCTGCGTCACTCCTGCCCCCTCCCCCTGCAGACCAAGTCTGTGTACGTCCCGCTGCCCAAGAGCAAGGAGCAGCGCAGCTGGGTCATCATGTGAGCGCCTGTGGCCTGGGCGGGCATGGAAGATGGCGCAGGGCAGCCCAAAGACGATGGTGGCGAGTAGCGGCCTGATGTGGACGGCAGAATACACACATTGTTTTGCACAGTGGAAGGCAAACTCTTAGTGATGTGCAAAAGGTTCTCACGGGTGGCGTCATGTAGGGCCCAGTGCAAGTGCTGGCCACTGCGCAGTGCTTCATGGCCAGGCCAGGTGCAGTGCCACAGCCACAGCTGCGCTCTGCCCTTGCATGACGGCAGCCACAGCGGCCTCCGCTGCCGCTGCCACCTCTTCGGGCATGCTGTCCGCTCCCATCACACCCGCCATGACGGGCTCTGCAACCGGCGCCGCCGCCGGGGCGTCATCGCCAACCCAGCTGTCCGCGCCCTGCCATTGAGGGTGCACAACACAGGCAGGCGAGGAAGTGTTGGCCAGTATCGGGCCTGCCAGCGAGGTGAGCAATGGCGGCACCACCCATCCACGCCCCTCCCTGCACCCACCCACCTGCTCCTCCTCTGCCGCCCGGCTGGTGGGCGGGTGGGGTCCGGCGGCAGTGCGGCTGCCGCTGGCCAGCAGCGGCCCAGCTCCTCGCGCAGCACTGGCTTGAGCTCCGCACGCATTACCTCGAATTCAGTGGGGATGGACTTTTACCAGCGCAGCTTGCGCCTCCACTCTCCCACGCTGGCTGGCAGCTTTGAATGCTGGCAGCTGAAGTTTGGCACGTGCTCGCCTGCCTCGGGTGGCAGCAAGCGCGGCTTCACCACCAGCACCTTCAGCACCTCAGCCAGGGGCATGACCTGGCCTGCACGGAACAGGGCGCCGGCAGTGGTGCGAGGAACACTCGTAGCGGTGGCAGCGGAGGGCAGGGGGCGGCGGGCAGCAGGGGCATCGGCAGCAGTTTGTGACAGCCAGGCGAGCAGTCCGACAACTCCCAAGAGGCAGCGAGGGCCCAACCAGCAGCACCCCCTCCCACCCACCGATGGCAAGAGAGTTGAGCTGCTCCTGGTCGGCCTCGGGTAGGTCCTCGGGCGGGGGCGACACCACCTCCGCCACCAGCTGGATGAACTGAGTGGCGACCGGCGGGCGGCCACCCCAGCTCTCACTCACCAGGGCCTGCAACGTGGCCAGCTGCTGCAGCAGCAGGGGCGAACCAGGGGCAGGGCGCCAAGAAGTGAGATGCACGAGCAGGCCAGGCAGCCTGGGGAAGACGAGGCATTTCGTTTGTCCTGCCATGCCCAGCAGCAGCATCGCAGCTACCGCAGTTCCAGCAGCAGCAGCTGCTCACTGGGATGTCCTGCGCCATGCTGTTGAGCGTCAGGCCGCCCAAGCACATGGCAGCCTCTAGTCCCACAGTTGCAGGGTTGATTGCCAAGCCCGCCAGCTCCAGCAGTTGCTTGGGGCTTGCTGCACAGAATGCAATGCACAGCAGGGAGCAGGCAGGACACAGGGAGGTTGTGTGCAAGGCAGGCAGGCCAGTGTGTGTGATGATGTGGGTTTGCAGCAGCACCCAGCACCAGCATCCACTGATCCCAAGCCACCTCCAGCAGCACCATCAAGCCACTCATCACGCTGAAGTGTGGCATGCGGGTGGCTGACGCGACTGAGCCGCCGGCTTGCCGGCCCGAACAGAGCCAGCAGCATGATGCAGCATCACAACACGAATGCATGGCTGTTGCACCGGTGGCAGCACCCACCCACCACTCTTCAGCTTGGCCGGCATGTCCTGGGTCTTGCTGAAGTCCACGGCAGCAGGCAGGTCCAGCCAGGCATTAACGCTGCGTGCGGTCTGGGTGTAGGCCTCGGGGCTCAAAGCGCTCCTGGCGGCTGGAGAGGCGGGGCTCTGCAAGGCAGCATGTGGGGTGGCAGAAGGTGAGCAGGGGCAGGGGCAGGACAAACCACATCGTATGTATGGGGTGGGCCTGCGCAGTGCTGTTGCCCGCGGTCAGCCTCTTCACACCTGCCGCCCCTCTTCTTGCAGAACAACACACGCACCAGTCCAGTTCACCAACACCACACACCTGCTCCAGCGCGCCTTGCACCAGCTGCAAGCCGGCTGGCAGCGTGTGCCTCAGCAGGCGGTTGTTGGCCCCACCCGGCTTGCCCTTCTCTGCCTTCAGCAGGTTGGCCAGGGTGGTCAGGGAGGAGGCGGAGATGTCGACCTTGTTGCCTGCCGAGGTGGGAGAGGCAGTGACCATGCAGCAGCAATGGCAGCAGCAGGGAGGGCGAAGCAAGGTGCCGATGCATTGGGGCCTGCCAACTCACCGAGGCAAGGCAGCAGTGGCATGACGAAGCGTCGGTGCTTGCTGCCGCGTGGGACTGGGCGTGCTCACTCTTCCGGGCCGCCCGCGCCAGCAGGTCGGCACTAGAGTGCAGGCAGGTGCCAGCTATGTGCAGCGCCAGGCTGCCCAGCATGCCGCAGAGGGCCCAATGTTCCAGCTGCACCTCGTGGGCAAGAGGGGTGGTGCGAGAGGAGGGTGCCGGGTGTCATGCAGACTGGCGCCTGCGCCCGGCTGGTGCCCTCACACAGTGCCGCTGCTCTCTGCGCACCAGGGCCCATGTTGCACGGCAGCCGGGAGCAGCTGTTCCACCCACCAGCAGCTGCAGAGGCCTGCCGGCGCCGAATGCCAGCTGGAAGGACGCCGCCACCAGCTGCCTGCACACATCCTCCAGGTCGGGCTGGCCGCACAGTGGTGCATCAGCCTGCTCCAGCAGATCCTCGGCACGGCTGGCCTGCAGCAGCCAGGGGAAGAGGCAGGCGGGGGCTGCTGGGATGCCTCCACAGAATGCATGGCTGACCTGAGCACCGCACCGGGCCGCCCAAACGCATGGCAGGGCCCGCACAGGGACCTCCCACCCACCGAGTCGGACAGGCTGGGTAGCAGCTTGGCCAGCACCTAGATCCGCGCTGCCGCCAGCACAGGCTTCACCTCCTCCGCGCCCGCAGTCAGGCTCTGCAGGCGCGGCAAGCGGGCAAGGGGGGATGGCAGCCATCCGGCGGCTCGTCAGCTGGCAGGAGCCCCCGGCTGCCATGCCAAGGGGCTGCCCGCTCGGCGCTGCTGTGCGCCGCCACGCCAGCCAGCGCCATGCCCCCACCTCATGCGTGGCGATCAGCGCCTCTTGCGCCATGGCGACGCTGTTGCGCATCTCCACCAGACCAGCCACCTTGTGGCCAGGCACCACGCCCATCGTGGCCTCCTTGCCCACCGCCACCCACAGGCGGCCTGCCACCGCCGAGCAGCGCTCCAGCACCTCAACGCTGGAGTCAGTAGCGTGCACCACCACATCGTAAACGTGCTGAGGCATGGGGGTAGGGGTGAGGGGTTGGGGGCAAGGATAGGTGGCAGGGGGAGGTGAAGGTGGACAGGCAGGATGGGACAGAGGGGGCGGGCACCTGCCACCCCGGTGCACCATGTGGAGCTCAGGGTCTGCTGGGACTTCTGCGGCAGGGCCTGCTCCTGGCACAGGCGCCGCCTGCCCCGCCCTGCTCACCTGCGCCTCCAGGGACAGGGTGCCGCCCTCAGCCACCAGGCCGCTCAGCAGCGGGATGCCGTCGCCAGGCTGCAGGAGCCAGAGCACAGCGCATGTGGAGGACGGCAGCATTAGGGCACTAGGAGGGCAGGCTGGCATGCCGTGCCGGCTCCCTCCCAGGTTGCAAGTGGTGTGGTGCAGAACAGGTAAGCAGCCATGGTTCGTGGTGGCACCTTGTAGCTGCTGCTGCATCTGGCTGCCGCAGCTGAAGCGGCCTCTGCTAGCTCGCTGAACACCTTGTCCAACTCCTCCTTGGCCTGCACAGTGCAGCAGGCGCGGCAGCGGGTAGGAGCTGTGAGAAGGCGTGCAGGCCAAGCGGTGGGACCCTGCGCAGCGCTGCACTGCACAACCCGCAGCGGAACAGCGTGTGTGCGGAGCCGGCGCACCGCATGGCGTGCCAGGCTATTGGAAAACAGCGAGCGTGATGCGGCGGCGGGCAGCTGCCCCCGCCGCGCTGTCGCCTGCTGCACACCGCAGGGCCCCGCCCACCTTGGCCTCCTCATCCTGGCTTCGCATTTGCTCCAGCAGCGGCTTCTCAGCGTGAGGAGAGGCGTGCCCCTTTTCGAAAGCTGCAGATGCAGCCGTCTGCAACCAAGGAGAAGGCAGGCAGAGCAGACAGGCGCTGGGACCAGCGCCAGGGGTGCCAAAAGCTGCCCTCCCAATGGGCCAGGGCTCTGCGTGCCTCTGGTGCCTTGCCTGAGCGAAGCAGAGCCGTGGGCCTTTGGGTTGAGTGAGGCGCTGCGCCCCACAAGGTGGGGCTCCAGAAGCGGAGAGATGGAGGGAGGGGCTCTCGGCGAGGGGGTGCAGACGCCTGGCGTTCCTCTTCATGTGGCCAGCTCCCGTCCTTTCCTCCCTTGCATTCTTTTTCAGTGCTCATTACACAAATTTGGCAAGCAGGGCAGTCTTCAGTAACAGGGTATCAAGTAGGAGATGAAGGGGCACGGGGGAGGGAGGTTGCAAGCAGCGCGCGAATCACAGCGCCCCGCTGCCGGTGTTGATCGTCACCGCGCCCGACTGGCTGCCAGCCGCGTGCGCCGAGCCGGTGCCGCTGGCCGCCACGGTGCCGGGCACGGAGGTGGCCTGGCCGGTGAGCAGGGCCAGGACGGAGGCCCAGTCCCCGCCCGCCGCCGCCAGCAGGTCGGCCACCTGGGTGGCGGTGGGCGTGCGGGCCAGCAGGCTGCCGTTCACCTGCGGGCAAGATGGGCAGGTCAGTGAAGGTGGGAGGCAGGAGGGAAAGGAGGCTGGCAGGCTTGGCAACAGCTGCACCACCACTTCCTGGCACCCGCACCTGAGCGCCCGTGGTGGTGGCAGAGGCGACGCCCGCGGTGTTGGCTGTCACCGAGCCACCGCCCAGGCTGGCAGCTCCGGCTTGCAGGCTGCCGGTGGCGGTGTGGCCTGGCGTGCTGGCCTGCAGCTGGGTGGAGGAGGTGCCGGTGGCGGGGGTGCCAGGGTTGCCGGTGGCCTGCGGGGCCAGGGAAGGGTCGGGAGAAGCGGAGTGTTAGGCAGGGCAAGTGTCACTCCATGTGGCGCTCCTGCCCACCATCCCCTGGGCACAGCCCCACCTGGCCGGTGGAGAAGCCTCCCACAACGGCGGTGTTGGGGGCGGTGATGGAGGTGAGGGCAGAGGTGGAGGAGGCGTCCGTGCCGCTGGAGGTGCCGGAGGTCTGTCCCGCCGTGGCGCTGCCGCCGCTGGAGCCCTGCAGGGAGGCGGTGGTGGCGGCGCCGCCGTCTGCCTTCTGAGCGGTGGACAGGGCGGTGCCGATGCACATGCCCGAGGCGGTGTCGCAGGCGGAGATGGTGTTGACGTGCGCGCTGTCGCCGCTGGCAGTGCCTGATGCCTCCTGCTGCTGCAGCAGGCGGCGGCGACGGTCTGCAGCCAGGGCGGAGGTGAGCAGGGAAGGGTGAGAGGAAGGTGGCCTCTGGTGGGCCGGGGGGCCTCCCTCGTCCCTCCCCAGCGCCTCACCGCTCAGCTGGAAGGTGGGGGCGCTCTGCAGGGCATGCAGGGCCTCGGCCAGGGTGGTGACGTCGACGCGCGAGCCGGCGGTGCCTGCGGCAGATGCAGAGGCGGGGGCGGAGGCGGAGGAGGCGCCCGGCGTAAAGATGGCAGAGGTGAGGAGCTCGGCCAGGGCCTGCGTGGTGTGGCAGGGGAGGGAAGCAGGGTGTGAGAGACCAGGGGCAGCGCCATGCATCTGGGGGCACAGCATCCCCAAGCACGGCAGGAGCCATGCCACCCACCCCACCTGCGCCAGGGCGCCGGTGCCGATGGCGCTGCCATCGGCGATGGAGGTGGCGGTGGGGGTGCGGGACTCGGAGTGGCCGGTGGCCTGCAGGGAGGTGAGACCGGTGGGTGAAGGGGAGGTGATGCAAGGGAACCGGTGGCAGGGCAGACCCTCGCCACACAGCAGCACCCACCTGAGCGCCAGAGGTGCCAGCCTGTGCCACGCCAGCCGCGTCGCTCAGCACGGCGCCGCCGACGGTCGAGGAGGCATGGGAGCCGATGTTGGAGGCAGCGGTGCCGCCGCCGGCGGTGGCGGCCAGCAGGGTGGTGAGGGTGTCGGCGGTGGCAGCGGTGCCGGCAGGGGCGGACGCCTGGGCGTTGGTGAAGCCTCCCACAGCGACAGAGGTGGGGTTGGCCAGGGCAGTGAGGGCCTGCGGGGCAGGGGGCAGAGGGGCGGGCTCAGGGTGGCATTCACCGGCGGTCAAACACAGCACCCAACCACCCAGCCGCCCGCAACCACCCGCCTACCGAGGTGGAAGTGGCGGTGTGGCCCGCAGCAGAGCCCTGGGTGGTCCCGGCAGCCAGGCTGCCGCCGCTGCCCGCAGCCACAGCCCCGCGCGTGGAAACGCTCCCATCAGTGGCGGTGCCGGTGGCGTGGGCGGTGCCCAGCTCGGTGCCTGCAGTTGAAGGGCAGGGCAAGGCACATCTGAGGGCGGGCAGCTGCGGCGTACGGGAGCAGATCAACAAAGGGAGCAGATTAGCAAGCCGCCTGTCCTGGTCAACAAAGGCAGTCAGCCCCTTGCCGCTCACCCGCCCCCGCGGCGGCGACGCTCTGGGCCGAGACGGCGGCGCTGGTGCCGGTGGCAGAGCCCTGGGCGGCAGACGTGACCAGCAGCCTCCTGCAGGGGGGGCGAGGGCAAGAAGAGCGAGCCTTGTTCAAACCAGAGCAGCTGCAACAGCCGCAGGGCGACACAGCGTCCGAGGAGGGCACCTGGGCGGACCTGGGCAACAAGAACGCCCTGGGGGCTCACCTTGCAGAGGCAGGGCTGCGGGCGAGCAGCAGCAGCAGGATGAGCAGCAGGGGCAGGGCGAGTGGGCCGTGGCGGGCCATCCTTGCTGTTTCTTTTGAGTGGTGAAGGCCGTGAAGCGAAGGAGGAGGCAGGGAATGGTGCGGAGGACGCGCAGTCAACGCGTTTTCAATACTCCAAATCCTGTTGTGCTTTCCTGCCGTTGTTCTTTCTTAACCGCCAGCTGTCTGCCTGCGTAATGCCTGAGGGCATCCTAGCTCCCCCGCGAGCATGCAAACGAGTGGAGCATTGTCATAGGATGACTGATTGTTGGCTTGCAAGCCGATGTGCAGAGCTTTGGTCGCTGGCGGCGCCCTGCCATCCGCCCGCTCGTGGACCCCCTCTCAACCACGTGATCAAAGGCCATGCCACTGCTGAGCCTTTAAGTGACTGTGTTCTTGACATCAGGGGCTAAGCAGGTGTTGTGTGTTGTGTGATGTGTGGGTGCTGGTCTCCCGGCAGCGGCAAGCGGGGGCGTGGGTTCCGGATCGGTGGTCGGATTCGGTCCGGCTCCCATGCGCCGCTGGCATCTGAAACTCATGAATGTGCAGTTGAAGTGAGTATTACAGCCCGGTGCTCACTGAATCTGTACAGCAGTACCGTTCAATGTGAACAAAATCGTGGCTTCACGTACAGGCATAACGAACAGGGAGTAGAGCGCATGCGGCGGGGGCGGGCATCGGTGCGTCAAGTAAGGGGCGCCTCGAGCGTCAAGGCCGTCCAAACCGTCACAGCGACGGGTCCTTGATGACCTGCGGCTGGAAGTCGTGGCGCACGTACCGCCCCAGCTGCTCCGCGTACATGTCGTAGCGCGCCGTCATGCGGAACCCCCACTTGTCCCGGATCTGCTGGCACAGGTTGAGGTCCAGGTCGGCCACCAGCAGGCCATCCTTGTTGCGCGCCAGCGAGGGCGTGCGCGAGGCGTCGGGCGCCGCAAAGTAGCTGCTGCCGTAGAAGTGGCCAAAGTCCTGCGGCAGGGCCCCTCGGCGCGGCTGTAAGCTTTGGCGGAAGGGGCAGGCAGGGGTTTGGACCAGCGACATTGGCCAACCAAGTGCGGCTCGCCGCCCCCCCCACCTTGTGCGCGGGCTTGCCGTCGCCGCTGGTGAAGGCGTTGGGGAAGGTCTCGGTGCCCACGCGGTTGATGGCGCCCACGTAGTAGCTGCGGGGCGGGCAGGGAGGCAGGGTGGCGAGCAGGCAGGCACCACGGCGGGCGGCGGCAGCGGCATGCTGCACCACTCCAATGCCACATGTCCCGAGCCTGCCCTGCACTCCTGGCTGTCATGCCCAGCTGGCTGCCTCGCAGACCTGCACCAGCCACATCCACGGCTGCGCGCTTCACGGGCCGCGCCCGCCCACCTGTTGGCGATGGCGGCGTTGCGCGCCTCCACAGGCCACATCGGCTCGCTGAGCTCCCCCACCGTGGCCGAGGGGTTGAACACAACCTCGGCGCCGTTGAGCCCAAAACCCTGCCAGTTCATGGGGTGGTGCCTGCAGCATGCAGGGGTGGCGGGCGGGAGCTGGGTGAGTCAGCACCCAGCACCAGCAGGAGCAGGCATGCAATGGTCGGTGGCCGCAGCCTGGTGGCTCATCCCTGCCTGCGGGGCGGGCGCCCGCTCGCTCACCTGCCGTAGCAGATGTTGACCCCAATCTTGCCAAACGCCGTCTCAAACACCGGGTGCCCCGTGTTGCCCTCCTGCAGGCCGGCGGGGCGTGGGACGGCATGCAGCCAAGGTTTTGAAGCAGTGGCACCTGATCAGCATCAGCATCAGCAACCCACCACCCACCACCAGAAGCCACCCACCATGTAGTAGGTGGACTCGTTGAAGTCGCCCACGCGCGGGATGTGGTTCTTGCGGTGCTTGCCAATGACGTTGCCGTTGTTGCCCACCACCACGGCGGTGTTCCAGATCGTGTCCCCGTGCGCCTCGTCCCGCTCCAGGATGGGGTTCACAATCACCTGCCAGCGGGTGGCAGGGCAGGCGTGGGAAGCTGGTGACAGCCGCAGGCATCTGCTGCGGCCCATGAGCAAGGGGCCAAGCCTGCGCTGCGCTTCAGCAATGTCAGGCTGCAAAAGGCCAGGCAGCGCCGCGCACCATGCCGTGCTTGCGCGCCAGCTCCCGGCACAGCCGCGTGGAGGGCCCCGCCTCTGCCGACTCCGCAAACTCAGTCCACTGCTTCTCGCGGGTGCAAAAGGCAAAGGGCATGTGCCAGGCCTCCTGCAGGCACAGCACCTGCACCCCCGCTGCCCCTGCCGCGTCCACAATCTGCCGCACGCGGTCGTGGATGGCCTGCAGCGGGCAAGGCATGCGGCTGCATGTCGTGCGCCGCGCAGGCACCGTGGCGTTCTGGCGCACAGCTGCCTGCTGCTGCCGCCGCACTGCAGGCCCCTTGTTCGCCGTCCCGCCCGCACCGCGCCCCAGCCCATGCTCACCTGGCGCTGCTCCACAAAGGGCGCGGTGGTGGGCGCGTGGATGCTGTTCTGCACCAGGCCCACCCGCACGACGCGTGGCGGCCGCAGCTGCTCAGGCGCCGCCTGGAAGCGGTAGGCCTGCAGGTCGTAGCTGGCTGCCGCCGCCGAGGCTGCCAGCTCGGGGCCCAGCGAGACGGCCGCCACCGGCTTGCCGCAGTTCCAGCCGTACATCACGCGCCGCACATGGGCCAGCTTGTCGGCGGGGACGTACTCCTGCAGCGATGCAGGGCAGCAGGGGTGGCGGTGAGGCACAGGCAGCCGAGAACTGCAGCGAGCCGCCCGCTCCTGCCGCCAGTGGTGGGGACCCCGCCCGCCCTCAACCCCATCCCGCGGGGGCGCAAATTGCGCCGGTGTTCAGGTGCAAAATCATCCTACACCGCAGGAGGTGCACTTGAGCAGCAAGCGATCCAGGGCTCACACCTCGAGCAGCCTGTCAACCGACTCAAAGCCTCCCAGACTGCCATCGTCGACAGATCCCTTGGGTTGTGCTGCAGAGACGCCGTTGGCCTCTTGTGAAGCAGACATAGCGCTCGTGCCCTAGCGCGCAAGAAGGGGACAGGAATGTGGGACGGAACCGCTGCTGCCTCGGCGGGTATAAATCACTGATGAGGCCTGCATTCTGGGAGTCTGAGCGGAGGTGGTGGGCCACGTGGCAAAAACGCCTCCCCCCTAAATAGCAATCGAGACATGCCCAGACGTGTACCAAGCCTCATAAATTCATCGGACAGTCCCTGGGGGCCGCTGCTTGAGGTGAACTGGCAGGGCGACATGGCGGGGCTGCACAGGGCTTCTGCACCCCTGCACAGCGCCGGCGCATGGCTTTGCGTCGCAGCATTGACGCTGCTGCTGGCTGGGTGTGCCAGGTGAGCCGCCCGCTGCCGCCTCCCGCCCCTGCCGCCACCGCTTTCTGCAACTGCCGTGCATTCCATCGTCTATGCCTCTGCGCCTCCAGGTGTCAAGGCAGCAGTTTAAACGATGGCGACTGGCAGACGCTCATCCACGAGCCCGGCTACTGCGCCACCCACGGCATCTGCGGCCGCCGTGCCGACGGCGACCCGCTCAGCTGCCCCAGCAACACCCCCGCGCAGCCCCTCAACGCCACCGCGCTGCAGAAGCTGCAGGCGGTCTGTCCGCAGCTAGCTGCGGAGGTGGGGGGCACCGACTACTGCTGCACCGAGGAGCAGCTGGACCAGCTGCAGGCGCAGGTGCGGGGCGGTGTCGACGCCTTGCTCGGCGCTCATCGCGCTGCCATCAGCCGACTTGGCTAGCCACCTTCTCTTTACTACACCTCGCAGGGCACGCATGGTTCCCCTGTTGGCCTTCGCATATCCCTCCCCCAGCTGCCCTGTCACATTCCTCTGCCTGCCCCCTGCCTGCTGCCTGGCGCAGATCCAGGTGGCGTCCATCTTCCTGGTTGGCTGCCCCGCCTGCAACCACAACTTCAAGCACTTCTTCTGCCTCCTCACCTGCTCGCCAGACCAGGCCACCTTCGCAAACGTGACGGCGGTGCAGCCCGCGGCAGACACCGGCGCCACCGCCATCGCAGAGGCAGACTACTTTGTGGCAGGTGTGTGTATGGTGTGTGTGTGCGCGTGTATGTGTGTGTGTGTGTGTGACTCGCAGATGGGGGAGGGATGATTGCCGATTGGTCGGCGTGCTGCGCGTGCTGTTGCTGGGCAGGGAGTGCAGGCCAGTCGTGAGGCGCCTCGCCTGCATAGACTGCCGCCGATCGCTTGTCCAACACCCCTCGTCCACCTGGCCGCCTGCCTGCAGCCTCCTTTGGCGCCCGCTTCTTCGCCAGCTGCAAGGATGTGGTGTACCCGGTGATGAACCAGAGGGCCATGAACTTTGTGGGCGGGTGAGGCGGGGGGCGGACGGCGGGGTGGCGGGGTGGGGTAAGGGTTGGCTGGTGAACCGGCCAGGTGGCTTGCCGGGATGGGCTTGCTGGCAACACAACTGTTGCACTGTTGTAAAGAGGAACACGTCTGAAACCGCCTGCCGATGCATCCTGCCCGCGCAGCGGCGCGCGCAACTTCCAGGAGTGGTTTGACTTCATCGGCCTGGTCAAGGACAAGCGCTTCCCTCCCACGGGCGCCCCCTACCAAATGGACTTCCCCCCCGGGGAGCAGGCGCCAGGTGGGCGGTGCTGGGCTGGCTGGGTGCCCCGCCGGCATGGAATGCAGCGTGGCCGGCGAGCGCCTGCCGCACCCGAGCTGTTTTGACCCCATGGCATCGACCCTCGTTGTGCTTCGCAGAAAACATGACGGCTCTGGATGGATTCATCCCGTCGTGCGGCGAGGGCGCGCTGGCCTGCTCCTGCGGCGACTGCCCCTCGGCGCCCGGCTGCGAGCCGCCGCCGCAGCCGCCGCCGCCCGAGCCGGCCGGCTGTCCCGCGCTGGGCACCTCCTGGCTGACCTGTCGCGACCTGTCACTGGCTGCTCTCTACCTGGGCCTGCTGGCCTGCCTGCCGCTGGTGGTGCGCCTGTCCAAGGACCAGCTGGCGCAGAGTCGCGAGTGGCGGCGCTCGCAGGCAGCCATGGCGGCGGCCGCGCCAGGCGGCGCTGCCGCAGGCAACGGCAGCGAGCCGCTGCTGGGAGGAGCCGGCGGCAGCTCCGCTGAAATAGAGGAGGACGGGGGCGGAGGCAGGGAGGAGGAGGAGCCGGAGGAGCTGATTCAGTGGCCCGCTGCGGAGCAGCTGCTGCGCCGCTGGTTCTACCGCCTGGGCCGCTGCTGCGCGCGGCGCCCCGCCCTGGTGCTGGCCGCCAGCCTGCTGCTGGTGGGGGCCTGCGCCCTGGGCCTCACGCGCCTCAGGTGGGAGCAGGGTGAGGGGTGGTGTGGTGGCGCCGGGCATGGTGCTGCCGCTGAGCCTGTGCAGCCATGCCCACGCCGATGGCGACTTGCTGCTGGCTGCCGTGCCCCGCTGACACTCCCATGCTGTGCGTGCTGTGGTTCAGGGTGATGACCGACCCTCAAGAGCTGTGGGTGGGGCCCGGCTCGCAGGCGGCGCAGGAGAAGGCGGCATACGAGGTGCGCGGCGCGGTGGGCTGGGGCAGGCGGCGGAAGCGGGAACCGAGGCAGGCGCTGGTGTTGCCGAGATGCTCAACATCTGCCCTTCTACGCAACAAACACCCCTTGGGCATGTGCCTGCCGTGCAGGCTGCCTTTGGCCCCTTCTATCGCATCACCCAGCTCATCCTCAGCACCACCCCAGCCGCCAACTCCTCCACAGCCACACCCTCGGGCCTGCCTGCCATCGTGACGGGTGCGTGCTGGGTGGGGGTGCGGGGCATGGGCTCAGAACGCATGCATCAGCCCATTCTCTTGGTGCAGCCCGATCCAAGGAGGTCCCGTTCCTCCCCGCCTTTCCCACCCCTCCTGCAGATGAGCACATCCGCCTGCTGTTTGACATGCAAGACGAGATAGACGCCCTGTCAGCCAGCTACGACGCCCCCGGCAGCGCCGGTGACGGCGGCGGCGGCGGCAGCTGGAACGTCACCCTGGCTGACGTGTGCCTGGCGCCGCTGGGGTCCGCCTGCGCCACGCAGAGCGTGCTGCAGTACTGGGGCATGAGCCGGGACGTGTTTGAGCACGGTGAGACCTTCCTCCAGGCTGCCCTCTGCATGCAGTCGTGCCCCGCCAAGGTGCGGCACTGTGTGCGGGCGGTGGTTGCCTGGCTTCATCGTTGCGTCTCCACCTGCAGGCCCTCCCGCCATGCCTGTGCGTATCACTCCCGAGTTTTGCTTCACACACTGGACCACACAGGTTGGTATGTGTGAGTGTGGCGGTGGGCCTGCCCCAGCCGCAGCGCAGCGCCGCAGCGGTTGCAAGCCGCGCAGCGCTGGCACACGCCCTGCTTGCCTGCTGGCATGGCCTCCCCTCTCGGCCACCGCTGCTGCCCCCTCCCCTGCCGGCCCCGCAGTGCCGCAGCGCGCTGGGCGGCCCCACCGACCCGCACCTGGTACTGGGCGGCTTCCCCACAGATGCCGCCACCTTCCGCAACTACACCGCGGATGCCACCGCCTTTGTGGTCACCTTCCCCATAGATTCACACGCCGCAAACAGGTGGGCGGATGGGGGCGGTGGTATGGGATCAGCAGAGGTAGGAAGGCAGGCAGGCGGGCAGGCGGAGGCGAAGCCGGCCAGCCACACAGGCCTGTGCATTTCTTTGTTTTCGCGGCACCCCAGCCGGCTGGTCGTGCTGCGGAGAGCCCCCCCTGCCCCGTGCCTGCTTTGCCTGCCCGCAGGGGCGCGGCGCTGGCCTGGGAGGCGGCCTTTGTGGAGCTGGCATCCGGCCTGCTCAGCGAGATGGCTGAGGGGGTGGGCCTGCGCCTGTCCTTCTCCACAGAGCGCTCGGTGCAGGATGAGCTGGCACGGGAGAGCGGCTCAGGTGCAGAGCTTGGGCGGGGCCCGGCCCAAGCAGCTCATGACATGGGCGGGCCCTGCCGGGGCTCGGTGCCGGGGCTCCGCTGTCATTGCTGTTGGTCCATATCAAGCTTACAGGGCAACCTTGGGTGTGGCACGCACGACAGGCTGGGATGGCTGTGCTTGCCCACGCACCCACTGCCCTCCCTCCCTGCCACCCACCGCTCCCGCAGACGCCCCCACCGTGCTCCTGTCCTATCTCGTCATGCTGCTGTACATTGCCGTGGCGCTGGGGCGCTTCCCGCGGGGCGCCGACTGGCGCGACGTGCTGGTGCACAGCAGGCACGACACGCGCAGCATGCACAGCACAGCACAGCACGCAGGGCAGGCGGCAGCATCTCCCCTCGCCCTTGGAGCCGCGGATGCCCGTGCAGCCCGTCCTGCCTCTGTGCCTGCAACCCTGGGACGAGAGCCCGCCCTGCCTGCTGCCCTGCCTCCCCTGCAGGGCCGCGCTGGGGCTGGGCGGCGTGCTCATCGTGGCCGCCTCTGTGGTCGGCTCTCTGGGCCTGTGCAGCTGGGCGGGCATGAGCGCCACCCTGATCATCATGGAGGTCATACCCTTCCTGGTGCTGGCAGGTGAGCGGGCTGCTGGGTGTGTGGGCAGGCGTGGGCAGGCATGGAAGAGAGTTGGTAGGAGCGGCGCCAGTGATGGGCCTGGGAGGGTGTTTTATACGTCTGTTGTAACGCGCACTCCCTCCCTCCCTCCCTCCCTCCCTCCCTCCCACAGTGGGCGTGGACAACATGTTCATCCTGGCTGCCGCGCTGCAGCGGCAGCCAGAGACGCACCCGCTGCCGCACAGGCTGGGCCTGGCGCTGGCGGCCGTGGGGCCCAGCATCACCCTGGCAGGCCAGTGGGCGGGGCGGGCCGGAGGGCTGGGCTTTGGTGGGCGGGGAGGGGGGACAGCGCTCATGAGAGCGGGGCGCTCTTCCTGTTTGCTTTGTGCGGGCAGTTGCAGTGCGGTTGCTCACCCCCAAACCCACCCCCGTTTGCCTCCCCGCAGCATCCTGCGAGGTGGTGGCCTTTGCCCTGGGAGGCCTCACCTCCATGCCCGCCCTGCGCAACTTCTCCAGTGCGCGCCGCCCGGCTGCTGCTGCCGCCTTGCTGCCGCTGCTCGCTCCCGCTCTCCCGCTGTGCGCGTGTGTGCTCTCCCTCCCCGCCCTCCTGATAGCTGCCTACACACCTGGGGAGCAGCCTGTTTGGGGGTGTAAGGGCAAAATTAAATGAACGGCCCTGCCAGCGCTACACCTCCCGCCATCTGCGTCTCCCGCGTGCAGTCTGCGCCTCGCTGGCGGTCCTGCTGGACTACCTGCTCCAGGTCACCGCCTTTGTGGCGCTGCTGGCACTGGATGCCAGGCGGCTGGAGCAGGGGCGCTACGACTGCATGCCATGGGTCAGGTGGGGCAGGGGGGGGCAGGCGCTGTGGAGCTGGCGCTGTAGGATTGGGGCTATGGGACCGGGAGCTTTCATCATGATGTCATGATTGACCGGCAAGCCAAGGCCTCCATGCGTACCCTTTCCCCTGTCCTCCTGTCCTCTTGACCCGTGCTCATGCTGGCGCGCCACCCCCAGCAGGGCCCGGGGCCAGCCGCTGTACGAGAGCGAGTACGAGGAGCTGTACGGCGGCGGCGGCGGCGGTGGCGGTGCCCCGCGCAGTGGCAGCAGCGGCGACGGCAGCGCGGGGCTCCAGGTGGCGGCCGTGGAGGCTGCCATGGCTGACATCGAGGATGAGGTGGGGGCGGAGTATGGGCATGCCTACGGCGGCGCACACCCGGGTGGGCAGCGGGCACACGCTCGTGGCTTGGGATGGGGCGCCGCGGCGGGCTGCTGTATGTGTGTGGCCTGTGTGGGGCCTGGTCGTGCTGAACTGGGCTGCCTGCGCCTGCTGGCTGGAGCTGATTGACGTGCCGCCTTCTTACGCTGCCTGCGCCCTGCAGAAGACGACACGCGCTACGTGGGCGTGTCGTCTGCGCTGCGCTCCTACATGCGCCGTGTGCACGCGCCGCTGCTGGCCCGCCCCGCTGTCAAGGCGGCGGTGCTGGCGCTGTTTGGCGGCATGTTCCTCCTGTCCTGCGCGCTGCTGCCGCGCCTGGAGAGGTGGGCCCAGTTGAAGCTCAACACCCTTCTCCCTGCTTTTAAACTGGTGCCCAGCCGCTTGGCCGAGCGCCAGCCTGCAACACGCCGGCCTGCCCCGCCCCCGCCCCTGCGTCGTCAGTTCACATTGGTGCCTGGGGTGCCTGGGGTGCCTGGGGGTGCAGGGGCCTGGACCAGAGCGTAGCGCTGCCGCGAGACTCTTACCTGCAACGCTACTATGCAGACGTGTTTGACTGCCTCAGGCACGCACAGCTGGGGCGGCGTGCGGGCAGAGCGGTGGGGCGGATCGGTGCTGGTGGGCCCCACAGGCAGCTGCTGGGTCGCCGATGTGGATTGCTGGCATGCCGTGTGTTACCCCTGCCTGCCTGTGGTCCGCTGGCGCAGGGTGGGCCCTCCCGTCATGTTTGTGGTGCAAGGGCTGAATGTGAGCGAGGGCGCGCCGGATGTGGGGCGCGTCTGCTCCGTGGCCGGCTGCGACCCAGACTCGCTCCTCAACCAGGCAAGCCGGCGCAGCCAGCCAGCCAAGCAGCCTACCTGCCCAGCCTGCCAGTGTCGGCGCGGTGCTGCTCCTGCATGCTGGCCCTGGCAGCAGCAGCAGCACAGGAGGAGCTCAGTCGCCCCGCCCTCTGTGTCGTGCTGCGCAGGTGGCGCAGGCGGCGCGTGCCCCCTGGTCTTCCTGGCTGGCCACCCCGGCAGCCTCCTGGCTCGACGACTTCCTGACCTGGGCCTCGCCAGAGATACCGCAGGCAAGCAGTGGCAGGGCGTCAGGCCAGCATATCCATTGCAGCACGCCTGACATGCTGTGCTTGATTGTGACAACTGCCCCGCCGGCTGCTACGCGTTTTCAGCGTCACCGGCACGCGCCAGCTGCTTGCGCCTCCTCACCGTGCTGCAGTGCTGCCGCCAGGACGCAAACGGCACGCGCTGCCCGCCGCCCGACCAGCCGCCCTGCTCCGACTCGCCCGATGCCTGCGCCGACTGCACGGCATGCTTTGCGCCCTCAGACCTGCCGGGGGGGCGGCCCGACCTGCAGCAGTTCCAGGTGGGGTGTGGGGTGTGTGCCACAGCGTGCTGCCCTGGCTGTTGCCTGCCTGCTTTGCATTGGCCCTGGCAGGCACAGCCTCCATCCATCCTCCGCTCGCACCACTGCCACGCCGCAGGACAAGCTGCCCTGGTTCCTGGACTCGCTGCCCTCGGCTGCCTGCGCCAAGGGCGGCGCCGGCGCCTACACAGACGCCATCCAGGCCCGTCGCCGCCACCTGCACCCATATGCCTGCCGCAGGAGCAGCAGCATCGGCAGCAAGCCCGCATACGTACTATGGAATGCTGTGTGCATGTCCCCACCCCCACCCCCCGTGCCCCACCACCACCCACCTGTGCAGATGGATGCGGGTGACCCCACGGGGGTGGCGGGGCTGGGGTCCGAGGGCGTGGTGGCCGCCTCCTCCTTCCGAGCCAACTACGTCACGCTGTCCCGCCAGGCAGACTTCATCGCCGCGCTGGAGGCAAGCAGGCACCTGCGCAGCCGGCATACTGCCGGCGGCAAACTGCGGGCGGGATGCCTCCCTCCTGCACTGCGCCCTGCTCCTCCCCACCCCTCCCACCAATCCGACCCTCCCTGTCCCCCTGCCTCCCTGCCTCCCTGCCATGCAGGCTGTGCGCGCCTTCACCGCGTCTGCCTCGGAGCGGCTGGGCCTGCGCCTGCTTCCCTACTCGGTCTTCCACATCTTCTTCGAGCAGTACCTCACCATCGGCGGCGAGGCGCTCACGCTGCTGGGCTCGGGTGCGCGCGCCGACGGCGGCGGCCTGGCGTGCGGTTGCCGCACAGCACTGCCGCAACTCGGCCACCCTTCGCAGCCCTCCCAAGGCATACCCCATCACACCCCACCACACCCGCCACCACGCATGCTCACGCAGCTCACACGCCCACACCCGCACATGCCCCGCCGCCCATGCGCCCCCTGCAGCCTGCGTGGCCATCTTCCTCATCTGCCTGGCCGCCACGGGCAGCCCCTGGAGCGCCACCCTGATCGTACTCACGCTGTGCATGCTGCTGGTGGATGTCATGGGCTTCATGGTGCTGGCAGGCATACAGCTCAATGCGGGTGCGGCGCAGCCTGCGACGGGCTGGCACGGACTGGCACTGGCAGCGCCTGGGCAGCGAGAGGGAGGGGGCAGGGGCCTGCAGCCTGCGCAGGCTGGGGCCCGTCCTGCGGCCTTAGTTGCAGGGGGATGCCTCGCCGCGCGCCGTGCGGCATCTCTTGCTCCTGACCCGCCCCCTGCCCCCGCTCCTGCGCCTCCTCCCGCCTCTGTAGTGTCCCTGGTGAATCTGGTGATGTCTCTGGGGATAGGCGTGGAGTTCTGCGCGCACCTGGTGCACGCCTTCCTGGAGGAGAAGGGCGGCAGCGAGGAGCGGGCGGCGGCGGCGGTGGGCGACGTCGGCGCCGCCGTGCTCTCCGGCATCACGCTCACGAAGGTCACAGGTGAGAGGCTGGGGGCCCGCGTGGGTGTGCCTGGGCGTGCCTGGGGAGCAGGGGGCCTGCTGCCTGCCGCCGCCGCCGCCGCTGGCAGCAGGCGCTTTGCTGCCAGGCATGGCCAGCGGTCCCTGACAGCCCCGGCCCACCCACGCCTCGCCCCACCCCTGCCTGCAGGCGTGTGCGTGCTGGCCTTCTCCCGCACCCGCATCTTCGATGTCTACTACTTCCGCATGTATGCCGCGCTGGTGGTGCTGGGGGCGGCGCACGGCCTCGTCCTGCTGCCCGTCCTTCTGGCCGCGTTTGGGCCCGAGGAGCTGGAGGTGAGGCGGCGGTGTGGTGGGGTGTGCTGGTGGGTGGGCGGCTGGTGCCTGTTGGTGGTTCTGATGCAAGGCGGAGGGCCAAGCGCTTGGCGCTGAGGCAGATCTGCTCCAGTCAGTGGAGGCAGGCAACTAAAGCATCCCCGGATGCCGCCATCCTGCTGCAGCACTGGAAGTGGCGGGTGCGGCAGCAGCTTCTCAGGATGCAGTCGCAGCGGCTGGAGGCGCAGCAGCGGCTGGTGTCCCTGCAGCAGCAGAGAGAGGAGCAGGAGGAAGCGGAGGCGCCGCTCGCGGCGCCCGCTCAGCAGCAGCTGGAGGTGGCGCGTGGACAAGTGGAGGGTAGCTAGCCTTGTGGAGCTGGCAGGCAGCTAGGAACAGCCTGGCAGTACACGGGGCCGACCCATGCGGCGGTTTGTACCTCCCGACGTGTGCGCTGGGCGGGACCTGCTGCCGCCTGACGGGAGCTACAAACATCGACTGCGCTCTGCTCTGCCCAGCGTGCCGAGTGGCCACCCTCACACATTCGTGCGCCCTTCTTAGCCAGCTAGCAAGCCCAGCTGTGGTTCTAATGCATTGACAAGTGCATGGCAGGCCAAGGAGTGTCGAGGAGTTGGCTGTTGCTGCACTAATGGTACCCAGTCCGTAACAAATGTGAACGGCTCCCAGTCAGATAGAGCAGTAGTTTCAGTAAGCAAGTGCAGCCCCGGGTCAGCGGCGCAGGAAGGGGTTGGGGATGGCTGAGGGGCGCAGGTTGGGGCGCGTCGGCAGTAGGGCTATCTGCTGCGGCGTCAGCTCCGCCGCCGCAGGCGTGGCCTGCAGCGCCTGCTGTTGGTAGCCAGCAACATGGCGAGGGGCGGTCTGGGGAGCAGGCTGGTAGGCAGGGCCGGCGGCGTGTGCAGCAGGCGCAGGGGTTGCACGCCAGCCGTGGGCCACTAGCGGGCCAGCCGTGGGGCGCCAGCCGCCAGGGGAATGCTGCTGCTGCTGCCACGCTGCCAGGCTGCTGTCTGGCGCAGCTGGCACAGGCAGTGGCAGTCCGTAGGGTGGGCTGAGGCGCATCAGCGGGGCGCGCCGCTGTGCGCTGGTTATCGGCGCCTGCTGCTGCGGCCCGGCATGCTGTTGCGGCGGGGCGGCGGCTGGCACCACCCTCTGCCGCTTGGCCTGCTGCTGCGGCTGCTGCCCAGCACCAGCAACAGGCGTCACAGCAGCTGGGTGGCCAGGGGCAGGAACCTGTTGCTGCCGCTGCCGCTGCTGCTGGCGGGCCACCTGAACGGCCCGGATCTTCTGCTGTGCCGCCAGCATGACCGGGCTGCACTGATTGGCGGGCTGTGCGGCAGGCTCAGAGCTCAGGGAGCGAGCGCGCTTGTGGCCCGCCACAGCAGCCTGCGCCGCGGCTGGAGCTGGCTTGGCAGCGGGCGGGGCACCAGTGGCACGCGGCGCTGCGGGCAGCGGCTGCGCCGGCAGCTTGCGTCCGGCGACCTTTCCAGAAACCTTGGCCTGCTTCCCGTTCTGCTTGTCCAGCTGCTCCTCCGTCTTCTGCCGCTTCTGCCCCGCAGCCCCCTCCTTCTTCTCCTGCTGCTGCAGCTGCGCAGCCGATTCCTGGCGCTGGGCGTCCGCCTCTGCCTGCCGGCGCTGCACCTCTGCGGCTGCCTCCCGCTGCCGGCGCTGCTCCGCCTCCCGGCTCACGGCCTCCGCATAGCGCTGCTGCGCCGCGGCAGATCCCTGCCGGTCTGCCGCCACTGCTGTGGGCCTGACCCCAGGCGGCAGGTGCACCAGCGCCATGCCATCCTCCGTCCGCTCCTGCACCCGGCGCACCGGCCGTGCTGCAGGCGGCTCCGCACGGGGCCCAAACTTGCTGCCGACAAACGTGGCGTCAGCGGCAGGAGGGCGCGCGCCGCTGCCGCCACCACCGGCAGCAGCAAAGTTGCCGGCAGCGGCAGCAGCCTCTGCTGCCGGCAGTGGCGCCGCTGCCGCGGCCGCAGCACGCGGCGGGGTACCCTGCTCCGCCAGCTGTGGCGAGCCAGCCTGCGCGGCGGCACCTGGCCGCCGCTTGGGCTCCATGAGCACCTGCACGCTGACGTGGCGCATCTCGGGAGAGGCGGGGACAACCTGCGCGCAGCAGGGCAGCCGCCGGGTGGACCCATGGGGCCGCAGGTCAGCAGCCTGGCCTGGGCAGCCCATGCATGCATGCGTGCACCACCCGAATGGTTCGATCAACACACGCCCACAGGCAAGGCAAAGGTGCATGCTCCACCACACCGCACCTGCACCTCCACAGATTGCCGCCCCTGCAGGCTGGGGCTGGTCTGCACGCCCGCCGCGGGCAGCGGCGGCAGGCCGCTGGTGTCTGTCCCCGCCGACACGCGGCCCCGCTCCTCAGGGCTGTGCTGCATGCCGGCCTCGGCCAGGGCAGGCGCCTGGGCGGCGTGTGCGGCGCTGGATGCCACCAGCTGGAGCTGAGGCCGCCCGGCCTGTGCCGGCACATCGGAGCCACCGACTGGCGGCGGAGGAGCTTCCGCGGGTTCTGCCAGCCACTCAGCCCACCCTAGCTCCTCGCCTACCAAAGCCTCCTCAGCCTCCTCCTGCTCCTTGTTGTTCGACAGGCGGTGCAGGCCCAGTGGCGGGCGCTGCTGCTGCGCAACAGCCGGCTGCTCGCCGCGCTGCCGCTTGATGCTCTGCAGCAGTTCCGACACGTCTGCACAGAGAGAGGGAACCCTGGGGTGTTCAGAACGAGAGGCATCCAGGTGTCGGGCTGACAATGGCTGGCGCCCCCTGGCAGGCGCAGCCTGGGCCCACCTGGCGCGACGTTTGCCTCCGCCACACCATGCAAGCCGCCAACCACCGCACCAGAAGCAGCAGCAGCTGCAGAGCGCTTGGCTCCAGCCAGCCGGTTGTCGGTGCCACCGCCGCCTGCTGGCGCCGCCAGCGAGGGGAAGGAGAAGCCGCCGCCGCTGCCACGGCGGCTGGCGTCCCCCGCCCGACCCTCGCCACCCTGCGTTGGGGACTTCAGGGCGGCAGCTGCTGCTGCCTCGGCTGCTTCGGCCGCCTCGGCTGCGGCTGCCGCCACTGCCGCCGCCAGCCCGTCAGCGGCGCCGAGGCTGCCTGCCGCCATTGCATGCCCCGCCTCTGCCTCGTCTTGTGCCTCTGCCTCTTCTTGTGCCTCTGCCTCTTCTTGTGCCTCTGCCTCCTGCACTGCCGCCATGTCCTCGGGATCAGCAGCCACCAGAGCCTGTGCGTGCCTGCGCTGCTCCAGGGCCAGAGCTGCCTGCGCCACACTCTCCTGCTCCAGCACAGCCGCACTCGCCGCGGGATGCGCTGCCGCGCCCGGCTCTGCTGCCGCCTCCCCTGGTGCGGCTTGCTCGACGGCCTCCGCTGCGGCGGCTTCCTGCATGGCCGCTGCTGCTGGCCCTGCCTCCGCGCCCTGCTGCACAGGATGCTGCACATCGTCTGCCTCCATGCCTCCAGCAGGTGACCCCGACGCTGCGTCTTCTGAGGCCAAGGACAGCTGGCTGTCCCCTGTCGGCGTGGGCGGCACCCGCTCGCGCAGCTGTGACTCGGGCCACTGGCTGGCGGGCGGCAGCATCGTCTCATAGAACGGGCTGCCATCCGCCGCCGCCGCCGCCGCCGCTCCTGCACCAGCCAAGGCGGATGCGGGTGCTTCACCCGCGTCTATGGTAGCTGCCCCAGGCGCAGCACCCTGGTCTGCTGCTGGCACACCCGGGCTATCCGTCGCACCCGGCACGGTGGATGCGCATTTTGTAGCAGCCGCCAGCTCACCCGCTGCCGTGGGGAGCCCCTGATCCACACCCGGCTCATGCGGCTGCTCCTCGGACTCCGGCTCCTGCTCCTCCGCTTTGGCTGCAGCCGCTGGGCTGGCGCCTGCCTCCGCACCAAGCTGCTGCGCCACCTGCTGGGGTGCTGCCAGCGCGCCTGCTTCAAGAGCAGCTGCTGCCTCCTCTGCACCAACCTCCTCTGCTTCGCCTTCCGCTGGGCTCGGCGACAGGTGGACGACCTGTGTGGGCGGGATGCTGCTGCTCCAGGCGTAGGCGCCGCTGGGTGGCTCTGCTGAAGCCGCCACCGCTGCCACTGGCTGGTCCTCCATGGCGGCAGCTGGCAGGCCAAGCTCCTCCTCCTCCTCCTCCTCCTCAGCTGCATCTGCCATGTCCACATCTTCTGCCTGCACGGGTGCACGGCATGAGGAAGCGGGCAGGCCAGGGTGTGTGCCAGCAGCAGCCCAGCCGGCCCCGCCTGCACACACAGGCGTGCCAGCCACCACTCGGCCGGGTCACCAAGCCAGAAGCGCCCACCTGCTCTGGTGCGCTTGTTGGCCCGTGCGCAGCATTGTCAGGCTGTGCAGCGGCCACCACCTCCCCCGCAGCCGTGGCAGCGTGGCCTTCCGGCTCCTCTGCTGCTGCTTCTGGCGCAGGTGCTGCAGCCACTGGTGGCGCGGCCACTGCTGCTGATGATGGTGATGGAAGCGCGGTTGCAGGCGCGGCCGGCGAGGCAGGCTTGGAGGGCAGCTGGGGCGAGGAGATGCGGGCGAGTATGTCCAGGAAGCCGCCAGACAGGCGCCGCTCCTGCTGCCCCTGCTGCTGCTGCTGGTGGTGGTGGTCAGCCTTCGGTGTGCGGGCCGGCTGGCTGCCCACACTCGCTGTCGGGTACTGTCCCTGCTGCTGGCGCTTCATGCTAGGCAGGCCGGCAGGCTCGCTGCCGCCGCTGTTGCTGGGAGATGCGTCCGCCGGAACGCCTGGCGACTCTCCAGACCAAAGCCCCAGCCCTGCTGTGGGGCGCGGCGGTGATTGTGGTCCTGCCGTGGTGGCATCAGGAGGCTCCAATGCCTGGGAAGGCACCACGGCGTCAGTTGAAGCAGGCTCCTGCCCTGCCGATGCAGCAGACGGGGCTGCTCCTGCCGCTGCCGGCTGTGCTGGTGCAGCCGCGGATGGCTTGGCGTTCCAAGCAGATGCTGATGGCCGCTCCTGCCTCGCGGCTCCCTGCCCCAGCTTCAAGCCGCCGCTGCTGTGGCCAGCCGCACCGCTGGAGTGCGCCGCTGGCGCCAGCAGCTGGCTGGGAGGCTCTGGTGCGCCTGCCTGCCGGGCTGCAGTGGCGGCAGCAATGCGCCTCAGGTCTGCTGCCTGCTGCTGCTGCAGGGACAGCAGGTCGGCCTCAACCAAGCCCTGCTGCGTCAGGAAGGCGCCGGGCGCTGATGCCTGCTTCGCCTGCGGCAGTGAGGCAACAGCCATGCGGGCGCACAGGTTGGCCAAATGACTGGGAGGCCCAAGGATATGATCAGCATTGCTGGCGATGCTACCCAGCCACCACCTCACCTGCGTGGCATTGCGCTTGAAGGCCTGCGTGAGCACGCCCAGCGACCCAAGCAGCCAGGAACCGCTGATGCGACGTGCGCCGGCCCCCCGGCTGTCCGCGCTGTCGCCGCCTGCCGACACCTGCTGCCCCACGCTACCCTGCAGGCTGTGCGAGTCCTGACCACCGCCCTGCAAGCGTACCTGGGATGGTGCTGGTGGCTGTGCCGGCTGAGCCTGGGGCAGCAACTGCACACCATCATGCTCTGAAAGCTGCTGCGCCAGCTGCTGATCCTGGCCGGGGAGAGACGGGCTGCTGCTGGTTGGCGCTGGCGCGGCGGCCGCCATCTCAGGCTCCTCCGCCGGCTGGCTGGGCAGCTGTGTGGCAAAGGCAAAGCCGCTGGGCGACAGTGGCGCCTGGGTTAGCAGCGCGTCGGCCCTGCAGGGCCCGGGCAAAGACAGGAGGCGTACGGAGTCAGGAGGCAACCGACTTGCAATTGCAGGTCAAGGCCTAACTGCTGCACTGTCCACTCGCACAGCCCCAGCTCACCAGGCCTGGCCCCCGGCCACCACAGCGGGCAGGCCGCCGCAAGCGCCAGCAGCGGTTGCGCCTGCCGCCTCTGCGCCCACAGCCTCCGGCGCCGCCAGCGCCACGGCCGGCAGCTCCTCCTCCGCATCCTGGAAGTCTTCGTCTCCCTGGGAGCCCAGCAGGGGCAGAGCTGGGACAGCATCCGCCCACTCGTCCTCTGCCGCCCGTGACTGCTGTCCTTCCTCCGCTGGTGCCGCTGTAGCTGCTGCAGGCGCCGCTGCTGCAGGCGCCCCCGCCTCCTGCTGGTCAGTCATAGGCGCATCGACAGCCATCGCCTCCACCGCTAGCGTCTGCTCTCCCGCTGCAGGCTCTTGCGCCTCAGCCGCTGTTCCTGCATCCTTCTGCACCGCACCTCCATCTGGCTGCCCCTCGTTCATGGCTGCCAGCGCAACCTCTCCTTCCGTTGCACATGGCCCGCCCGCTGCTGCGGGCGCTGCTGCCACCTGGACTGGTGCCGGCTGCTGCTGCTCCTCCTTAGAATCTTGCTCCTGCGCCTGCGGATCATCTTCGTGCTGCTGCTGCAGGCGCTGCTGCTCAGCATCACCCCGCAGGGCAGGAGGGCCCGGTATTGGCAGCGGCAGCAGACCGCCTGTGGTTGGGGAGTCGGCCAGGGAGCCCACCAGCGCTGCCACTTGGCGCTGCGCCTCTGACACAGTTTGCTGCTGCTGCAGCCGCTGCTGTGGTGGCGGCGCCTGCTGCTGCCGCTGCTCAACCACAGGTCCAATAGCGCCCAACCCATCAAACAGCTGGAGAGGGTGCTGCATCGAGGGCGGCGCCGCGGCAACCTGCTGATGGTGCTGGGCAGAGGCGGGCGGCGGTGGATCCGGGGCCCGCGCCGCTGACTGAAGCTCATCGCCCGGGTCTGCCGGTCGCCAGGCTGCACAGGGAGGTTGGCAGAAGCAAGCGGCGGCAGGCAGCGGGCGGGTCGGCGGCGGCCCACGGCAGTGTCGCAGCTGCAGCGCCCCACCACAAACCTTGCGAGCTATTCAGCACGTCTTCCTGATCCGGCGGAATGGCAGCAGCGCGCAAAAAGGCTTGCAGGTCGAAACCCTGCTGCCCGCCCCAGGCCGCCATGGCTGCTGGCCGGGCGGCCAGAGCGGCGCAGTGCAGCTATGGCTACACTAGATGCGCAGCAGGGCGGGAGCTGCCAGACGCCCAGTGCAAAAACAGCTGAGGGCAAGCGATCGGCACTTCCTCCTGATCCACCGCATACAGCGGCAAGGTACAGGTAACAAGGGCTCTGGAGAGAGTTTTAGTCTGGCTGCCGCAGCACTACCCACTGTCCCGCCGCGGGCGCGTTGGCGGCGGCAGCGGCATGGCGCAAAGGGAGCGCACCTCGCAGGCTCACGCTCTGTTGGCCCAGGCTCAAACTCTGAGCCAGACTCTGCCTCCTTCCCCTGCGTCTTTGCCCCGCGTCTGTGCCCTGCACGACGTCGACCTGCAGCAAGGTAAACAGATCGGCTATGACAGCGCCGGCTGCTGCAGCACCTCTTTACGGCCTTCACTGTGCCAAACAGTGACGTCAACAGCCCCACTGTATCTCTGCTCTTACTTTGAAAAGGCTGAGGAAAAGGCTGTCCCACGCCTCGCTTGCCTCTTCTTCATCGCACCCATCGACTTGGCGGCCTGCACCGCCTCGGTGGTGGGCCAGCGGGAGGCGGCGGCAGGTGAGGCATTTACCTCCTTGCCCGTGAGTACCAGCCTTTTAACGAGAGCTGAAGAAGCGCACCTGCGCGCCTCCTCTGGGCCTTGCGAGCCAGTCCTCGCTGCCCATGACGCACGCCTGCCTGCAGGTTTGAGGGCATAAGGCCCAGAAATGTGGTTGGAGCCAAGCGAAAGGGTAGCCGTGTTTGCAGCCCGAGGCGCAGGGCCCGTGATTCGATTTGAAATTCATGCGGCTGGAAAGGGTCTGGCCCGGCTGCCGGCGCTCTAGCCTTTGCAACATGTGCACATGCCCCATGCCTTCTGTACATGGAAGCTGGCTGATGCATGTAGGAGAAGTCTGAAATAGGCAGCGCGCTAAGCAAAGATAATGAAAGTTTCCAGGCGCCATGTGAAAGTGCATGTGCGGCCGCAGCGGCGGCGCTGGGCCTGATCACTGCCCAGCCTGAGGCATTGACAAAGCCCCCCGCATGATGGTAGCCACCGCACCCCACATGCCCCTCTGCGCCATCAAGGAAAGCATGGCCTCCTCCTCCCGCTCGCGCTTCTCCTGGGCACGCTCACGCTCCTGGGCACGCTCGCGCTCCTGCTGCGCACTCTCACGCTCATGCTGCGCCCGCTGACGGCTGAGGAAGAAACTTCCTATCAGCTGCTCTGTGACCCCAGACGCTACTGCCGCTGGCTGGTTGGCGGCAGCCGCCAGCTGCCCCAGGTGCCTGCCTTCCTGGGCGGCAGTAGCAGCCAGGGCTGCGTCGCCTGAGGTGGCTGGTGCTGGGATCATCATCAGGCCAGCTGGCGTGGCAGCTGCCGCATCGATGGCGGCGTCAGAGGCCCTGGGCTGAGCTGGCCGCTGCTGTATGGCAGGCGCGGCTGGCGCAGGCTGCCCCTGGCTCTGGGTGCCATGGCCAGCGCCTCTGCTGCCATGACCGCCAGTCTTCTGCTTCTTGCCGCCACCGCCAGGTGCTGCGGTGAGGCACGCGTTGCCCGGTGCCCTGCGCTTGTTGCCACCAGTGGCAGTGCCAGTGCCATCGATGTCGGGCGCCTCACCAGCTGGCCCTTGGTGGTGCTGTCCACTTGCGCTGCCTTGCTGGCCCTCCAGGCGGCCCACCAGCGCTGCCAGCTGCCCGCTGTCCCTCAGCTGCTTGGCCACTGCCTGCAATTGCTCCTCCGTCTTGGCCAGCCGCAGCAACTCCATGAGGCCGACCTCGGCCTTGTACCTGCGGTGCAGGCGAGAAGGAGCATCAGCACTTGGGAAATCTGGCTTGGCAGCAGGTAACTGACAATGATACCATTCGCAGCGCCCCGTGCTAAGTCAGTCACGGTCACCTGGCCTCAGAGAAGTGAAGTCGCAGCAGGGTTGCGCGCTTCTCTCGCCCCTGCATGCCCCGCCACAGCAGGCCGATGTCTCGCAGCGCCGCCGCCTGCAAGCCAAGCGGGCAGGTGGCGCGGCACACAGCTCAGGCAGCGCAGGAAAGCAAGAACACACAGAAAACGGTCGATACACCGACATCTTGAGAGGCGATGGAACAACCATCACCACCTTGGCTGGCACCGCGATAGATCTGGCAGCAAGCTGCACAGGCCAGTACCTGCTCAGCCGATGGACACAAGGCCAGTGATACCCTCTTCGTGATGCCATTCTTATCATCCACTTGAAAACAGGGATGCCACTTGTTCACACCTGCCACTTGTTTGGCAAAGCACACACCTCTAGGCTGCCGAGCCTGCGGTGCTGGCTCCTCGCTGCCGGGGCCATCCCCCACGGCTCGCTCACGACTGCCAAGCGAGCTGCTTCCGTGGGCATCAGTGGCGGCTGCGGCCGCTGCCTCGGCACCCTCATGCTGTTGCTGCAACTGTACCAGCTGCCGCAGCTTGCCGTCATCCCTCAGCTGCACAACAAGCTCCTGCAGCTGCATTGCATCGGCTGCCTGCTGCAGCTGCTTCATCAGCTCCCCATCCGCCTCAAAGCTGCACAGGCGGCAGGAGCATGCCATGTCACGAGAGCACCAAACATCGGCAGAGACAGAGCACAGGCACATGTGTTGTGATTCCGCACTGCAGCGCCTCACCCGTCCTGTCGGCAGAAGAAGAAAACCTCTTTGCCCCGGGTCGGCTCCCGCCCCTTGCCGCGCCGCCACAGCACGGCCAAGTCACGCGCCACAGCAGCTTCGCCCACCGTGGCAAAGCTGCCCATCTGGATGCGTGCGCGGTTGGAACCCGCACCCTTCTCAGGCATCAGCGCAATCTTGGCTATGAAGCGGCCGGTCTTCTGCTGGTAAACGTTGAGAGGCAGCTCCCGACGGCCGCTCGCTGTGGCAGGGAGGCCCAACAGGTGCGGAGGAGCGGCATCCGCATGCTCCTGCACGCTGGTGCCGGTGTCCTCCATCACGCCGGCTGTGCGGCCGTGACCAGGCCTGGTGGCTTCTGAGTGCTGCTCCTGCTGCCCAAGCTGGCTGATCTGATGGGCCGCAGGAGCACCCTGCTCTGCGGGCACTGCAACTGCTGCACAAGCGACACAGGGTACGGTGGACGTGGCAGCGCGGCGACAATGCCGTCTCCACTGCCAACTGGTTTCATCGCATGCTCCTGCAGCAGTTCCACCAGTTCTGCCAGCGTGCACTGCCGCAGGTCCTCCTCCTCATCCGATGTTCCATAGTGGCTGCTGTCTTCGCCGTGCTGCAGTGTTGGCGGCGCCGGCGGACGGCTGCCGCCCTCCAGCTCTAGCTTGCGGCGCATTTGCTGGGCTGCCTCTTTCGCTGCCTCCAGGCAGGGGAAGGGCCCCAGGCGCCACTCTCACTGCTCGGCCAACTCGCCCACGTCTGCCTCCACCACCCACTGCCTGCCCTCTCTGACAACCTTTAAATTGTGCTGCAGCACAGGAGACCTACGAGGCTGCTCCTTAACAGGCTGGGCTTCGAGGTCCACCACCCTCATCATAACCTCCCCACGACACCCGGGATGCATGCCAGGGCAGCCTTGGAGGAAATGGCTCCAGGCCAGGGCTTGGCTGTTGAGGGGTTTGTAGAGGAAAGATCTAGGACGGAACCCCAGTGACTGGCTTGCTCTGTGATGCAGACCTTGGACCCAAACAGATGGAGCAGCAATGCACGTGGAGCAGCAATGCAGCAGACTTCATGACTAAAACCAAATGCACGGTTGCAAAACGCCGCAACCCTAGCCTGGCAGGCCTTCTGTCAATCTATAAATTTGCGGCTTACACGAGGCAACGGTTGCGTGTGTAAATAGCCCAGGCCAGGTTCGGTACACGCAAGGAAAACGGCCAATGCACTGGGCGTGTGTGCCCATGTGCACCTCAAAAACGGGGCGGCGGCCAACGCAAAGTGTGCTCAAGCGGCAGGGACAAAGATACAGGCACAGGGGCCGGGGAACGCCAATGAATTCAATGCTCACCGCGCAATTGTCATAGGCAGACAGAATCCAGTCATACAGGGCAGGAGCGCTGCTGAGCTGATGGGCCCAGTGGGCGTGGGCGCTTCTCTGAAATGGGGCGGTGATCGATGGAAGAAGGGGCTGGAGGCATGGCGGTCCCCAATATGTAATGAAAGCGTAAATCCGGGAAAGAACGGGCATTGTCATTGGGTCGCTGTTTGAAAGTCAGGAGGTGGGGAGTTTGGGCTGGTCCGGCAGAGGGTGTGGGGCGCGCACCGGGCTCGCTCACGGCTCGTACTCTGAGTCGATGTCCGTGGCTGAGGAGGCGTCCATGGCCTCCCCCCCGCTCTCTGCGCCGCTGTCAAAGTCGCTGTCGCCCCAGGCCGCGCTGATGCTGCTGAAGTAGCTGACCAGCGGCGGCTGCCCCGCGGGCGCCTCGCCGCTGCCGTCCGACAGCTGCTGCGAGGAGGAGCGGCCCGCCAGGCGAGCCCCCAGGATGCGCTGCTCCAGCTCAATGGCCTGGCGCACCGCCTGCAGCCCCGCGCCGCTGTCGTTGCCCACTATGCTCTCCAGCGGCACCTGCACCAGCGGCGCCGCCGCCGCGTCGCCGTCGGCCGCGTCGCCGCCGGGCGAGGCTTGCCAGGCCGTCTGCATGGCGCGCACCGCGCGCATCGCGCCCGCCTGCAGCTGCGCCGCGCTCTGCGCCGCCGGCTTGCTGCGCCCCTCCAGCCAGCTGCGGATCGTGGACCGCATTTCGTCCCAGGCGGCCGCCAGCAGGCCGTACGAGCCCTTGCCCTGGATGCACACCTCCAGCTGCGCACGCCACGTGCCGCCGCAACCCGGCAGCGGCTGCTCCTCGGTCAGCAGCGCCGCTCGCAGCTCCTGCAGGGGCAGGAGGATGGTCAGGGCGGGTGGTTTGCAGCGCAGGAGCGGGGCAGGGGTGGCACGCTGAACACAGGGGTAGGCGCGATGTGCAGGCGTGGTGTGCAGGCATGGAACGCGACAAGCATGCGATGACAGGCACCACGGGCGCGCCATGTGCGCACCTTGAGGCGCGCGGCAAAGTCGGAGATGACCTCGGTCTGCTTGATCTGCCGCCGCCACGTGGTGCGCTGCATACCCAGGCGGCGAGGGCAGCAGTGAGCCCCACGGCGCTGCCTGCGCCGGGCCGCATCCCAGCACCTACTCCACTCCACGACTGCTTCAGTCCACTCGACTTGACTCCAGCCCACTCCACTCCCACCGCTTCTCACCCACTCCTTCTCACCCACTCCACCACCCTCCCACCAACCACCAACCACACACCTTTGTCTTCCACGTGCGCCGCACCGAGTTCCAGGGGATGACATCCTCCAGGCCCAGCACCTCCAGCCGCATGCTGCGCAGCGCCTCGCGGTGCCGCGGCTCCACCACCTGCCGCTGCACCACCAGGCTGCCAGGCACGGAGCGGCCGTTGAGCCCCGCCGCCCGTGGCGTCGCATCCTGGCCGTCTCCAAGCGCCTCCCGCGGGATGCGCCGGTCGGGCGGCCGCTTGAACTCGCTTGCCGCCACAAAATGGGACTTCAGGGTGCAAGAGGTGCAGGAGGACAAACGTGAGGTCAGGCTCCTGGCATACGCAGGGCCTGCGGTTGTGCGCTCGCTCCACATCAGTCAGTAGCTGCAGCTCCGCCCGCCGGCTCGTGCGCTCACCCGCAGCAGCCTCACTGCCGCGCCGGCCGCCGCATGCAACTGGCTGGTCTGCACAGCGGTGAGGAAAGACTTGTCCTGCACCAGCTGCTGCACTAGCGGGTCCGAGGGGTCCACCGCCTGCGCAGCAAGGTGGGCAGAGGCAGAGGGCGCAGCCAAGGGTGAGCCCTGCTACCATCGGCAAATTTGTGCACGAAGCATGCCCGGACGCATGGCTTCAAGCCGGGATGGTGGCACGCCTGCCGCTCTGGATCACTGGCTGTGCGCTGGAGCCTGTGAGCAATCAGCTGCACTGGGCAAGAGGCAGCCTGGCCCAAGCGGCGGGCGAGGCGGCAGCGGGGGTGCGCACCGGCAGCTGCAAGTCAGGGTCCCTCGGCGTGGCTGGCGTGCTGGAGCCCAGCAGCAGGTCGAGGCTGACCATTTTCGCGCTGCCTGGCTGTTCTGGCAGCGCGCTATCGACCCGCAGCAGCGCGGGTTGCAAGCCCACCGCCTGCATGCTGCCGGGCAGAGCTCTCGTCGCGTGAAGAGATGGTCTGCGCTGGCCAGCAGGTCTCAGCAAGGTTCAGACGGGCTTCAGAGAGCGCCAGGCGCCCCAACTTCGCCAGCCCTCAGAACTCGCAACTCGCCCGTCGGACGCTCTTGGTACAGCTTTGTGATGTGTGCGCAAGTCAGGGCGCCTCGAGGTGAGTTGAGTATGATCTTGCGCGCCGCCTGCCAGCGGGGATGCAATGCTGAGCTCGGCCCCTTTCGGTCCTCAATTGCCAATAAGCGCATTGTGTGCGTGAGCAGGATGGACGCGGGTGTCTTGGAAACGGCCTTCCTGCAGGCGCAGGAGACTGTCGGCCGGCAGGGCGATATTGTGCGCTCCCTGAAGGCGCAGCTCAAGGATGGCAAGGTCGAGAGGGTGAGTCAATGCGGGTTTGGCATATTGGCGGTGGGGCATGCCATCATCAGCAGTCGTTCCTCGTGCTGCTGTAGCCTAGGGGACTGCTTGGCTCCACGGCTCTAGCATCTCAAAATAAGAACCAGGGCAAAGCCGCCCAGACTTGCCGGCAACTTCCAGCAGCGCAGGCGGCAGGCGGCAGGCGGCAGCTCAAACACACATGGCCTTTCCTTGTTCCTGCCCATTTGCTGCAGAGCGCGGTGGATGAGGCAATTGAGATGCTGAAGCAAGTGAAGATCGACCTGGAGCGCAAGCAGAAGGTGCGCACATGGTGTAACAGGGGTCAGGCGGCAAAGCGTGTAATCCGCAGCCGCTCCCCTGAGCAAGTTCAGCATTGGATGAACCCACCCACACAAATGTGCACTGTCCTGGTTGTGGCAAGCAGGCGTTGGAGGATGCCACTGGCAAGACGGCGTCCGCCAACAAGGAGGCCTTCCGCTCCGCCATGGTGTGTGTTGGGCCGGGGCCGGGATCAGCGGCCCCCTTGCGCCGCGCCTGCTCCGCATAAAACATGCGGCAATGGTAGATGTCAAAGGGGAGCCGGCATCGCTTCTCTCCGTCTCACACTTCGCCTCCCCCGTTGCCCCGCCCCACCCCACCCGCAGCTCAACGCCCTGGAGCGCCGCCTCTTCTTCATCCCCTCCTTCAAGATCTACGGCTCGGTGGCGGGCTTCTACGACTACGGCCCGCCCGGCTGCGCCATGAAGCAGAACGTGACGCAGACGTGGCGCAACCACTTCATCCTGGAGGAGAATATGCTGGAGGTGTGTGCGATGTGGTGTGTGGGGGTAGTGGCAGTGTATGTGTGTATGCGTGTGTGATGTGCTGTGTGTGTGTGAGTGTGTGTGTGTGGTTGTCGCGCTGTGAAGAGGAAAGGCCTGGGGAAGGGTATGGAGGAAAACAGCTGGTGCTGAGCTGGGGCGGCCACAGCCGGCGTGTGCTGTGCGCAGTTGGAGTGCCCCGCCGTGACCCCCGAGATTGTGCTCAAGGCCAGCGGCCATGTGGAGCGCTTCACCGACTTCATGGTGGGCTGCGGGGGTGGTGGCTGGGCAGATGCTCATGGGCAGCACAGCGCTGTGACGAAGTGTTTGGGCAGCTCACGTCTGCTGCTCAGTCCCCCATGTTGCTGCAAACACTGAGGCCCTTGGCGCTTGGGTGTCACCCCAACACACACCAACCCTGTGCAGGTGACGGATGTGAAGACGGGCGACTGCCACCGCGCTGACCACCTGCTGGAGGGTGCGCTGGAGGCGCTGCTGGAGGACCGCAAGAACCCGGCCAGCCCAGAGGCAGCCAAGGTGGGGGCTGGCGGGCTGGCGGGCGGCAGGGTGCCAGCAGGCGGGGGTCAGTCGGAGGGATGAGCGGGCGCGCTCGACCAGACGCACACGCCTGTGCTGTGTGCGGATCCAGCGGGGCGCGGGGCAGGAGGGGCAGCAAGAGCCACTGGGCCGCTTCCTCCTTCACCCCTGCCAGCCTCCTGACGCTCATCGATCCTCCCGCCTGCTTTGCGCCCGTCCCTGCCGCCGCAGGCCGCGCGCGACCTGCTGGCGCGGGTGGGCGAGCTGGGCGCCGAAGAGCTGGGCGCGGCGCTGACGCAGTATGGCGTCAAGGCCCCCGACACCAAGAACGACATCTCCGCCCCCTTCCCATTCAACCTGATGTTCAAGTGTGCCCCGCTGCGCACGCTGCGCCTGCTGCGCCTGCTGTGCTGTAGCTGCTGGACAGCTCCTGCCCTCCAGATGCTGGCACTACCTCTCGACCACCCGCTCCCGGCGACCCTTCCGCTCATTGAACCTTCGCTGCCTGGGTCCCCTGCCCGCAGAACCAGCATCGGCCCGCGCGGCGACCTCGTCGGCTACCTGCGCCCCGAGACCGCCCAGGGCATCTTTGTCAACTTCAAGGACCTGCTGTACTACAACGGATCCAAGCTGCCCTTCGCCGCCGCCCAGGTGAGGCGAAGAGGCCGAGTGCTTGGGCGCTGCGTCATTGCACTGGCTGGGTGGCCCCTCTAACCCCCGCCTTGGTGGGTTGCCCTCCCGGGTGCATGGACCGCCGCTGCTGCCACCCGCCACCACCACCGCCACCACCGCCACCACCGCTAGCACCCCACACTCACATGCGCGAAAACCACAAGCAACCCAGCGCCCTACTCCTGTGTCGCCCACTGCAGATTGGCAACAGCTACCGAAACGAGATCTCGCCTCGTGCCGGCCTGCTGCGCGTGCGCGAGTTCACGCAGGCCGAGATTGAGCACTTCTGCAACCCAGCAGACAAGGTGGGAACGGCGGCGGGGCTCACACTGGGCAGGCTGGGTGGCGTGCAGCGGCGTATCAGGCAGGGCAGGCGCACACGGAGAGAGGGAGGATTGTTCATGCCACGGAGTAACCCTATCTGACCTGCCTGCCTGCCTGTTTTGCCTGTTGCAGAGCCACCCCAAGTTCCAGAGTGTGGCTGAGGTGGCGCCGCTGCTGTACAGCCGCGAGCTGCAGGTGGGGCGCCGCAGCAGCCGCTGGGCAGCCAGCGGGGTGCCTCGCCAGCTTCTGCAGCTGCCAGCTGCGCTGCCGTGCCAGGCACCGCCACACGCCCGCCTGCACAGCATGCACCGGCCAGCCACTCAGCTGTGCCCCGCCTCCCTGCAGATGGGCGACGAGAAGAAGCCCAAGCGCATCCCGCTGGGCACGGCGGTGGCCAAGGGCATCATCGCCAACGAGACCCTGGCTTACTTCATCGGCCGCACCTACCTGTTTGCGCAGCGGGCGAGTCAGTGGGGAGGAGTGTGTGGAGGGGGGCGACTGGCTGGATGGACGAATGGTTAACTGCAGGGCGCTCGGGATCATTGCGGCTGCGGGGATGGCGTTGAGTATTGCCAGGGCTGGCGAATGCGTGTTTTCTACAGGATGCAGCAGCTTAATGTGTGCCCCCTGTTCCCACTGCGCCCCTGCCGCAGGTTGGCCTCAACGCTGATCGCGTGCGCTTCCGCCAGCACCTGCAGCACGAGATGGCGCACTACGCGGAGGACTGCTGGGACTTTGAGGTGGAGTGCTCCTACGGCTGGGTGGAGTGCGCGGGGCTGGCAGACCGGTCGGCGTACGACCTCAACGTGAGCGCTTGGGGCGCATGGCGGCGCGGATCTGTTGTGCTGCAGGCTGGGGTTGGGCATGGCAGCAGCACGTGCTGCCATCATATGCTGCCCTTGCCTCGCCTTGGCGCCACCGCCCGCATCCGCCATGAGCCCGCTCAGCTCACCCCTGTGCACACCACCGCCCACAGGCCCACGCCGCGATGAGCAAGGTGGAGATGTCTGCGTACGAGCGGTTTGCGGAGCCGCAGGAGGTGGATGTGCTGAGCATTGTGCCCAACAAGAAGGAGCTGGGCAGGCTGTTCAAGAAGGACGCCAAGGCGATCGCAGACGCGCTGGAGGCCATGAGCGAGTGTGAGCTGTGGCTGTGGCTGCTGTGGCGGTGGTGGTGCGGGGCAGGGTGGGGTGGGGTGGGGTTATGTGGCATGCGCGCAGTGATGCCGTATGGCAGGTGGGGCCACCACAGTGCATTTCTGGCCCGCAGGCTGTCTGTACCTGCCAATCATCCCTCCCTTTCATGCCCTCCCCCTGCTCCCCGCCCTGCAGGCGACGCGCTGGAGATGGCGGGCAAGCTGGCGGCGGGGCAGGCGGCGGGCATCAAGGCGGACGGGCAGGCGTTTGAGATGCAGCCCGGGTTTGTGGAAATCAAGAAGCAGCGGAAGAAGATGAGCGGCAGGTGGGGGCCTGGGGTTGGGTGGCTGCGCTGGGTGGCTGGATGGCGGACAGGCTGTGCTGGTGGGCATGGATCCCAACCACACGTGCTGTGAGAGCAGCACACCAGGGCGCCCCTGATGCCCGTCCCCGACGCGCAGGAACTTCACGCCCGCCGTCATCGAGCCCTCCTTTGGCATCGGCCGCATCCTGTACTGCGTGTTTGAGCACTGCTTCTACACGCGGGAGGGCGACGACCAGCGCTCAGTCTTCTCCTTCACACCCGTCACCGCCCCCGTCAAGTGCACCGTCTTCCCGCTGCTGCAGGTGGGGGACCGGGCAGGGCGTGTGTGCGTGTGGGTGGAGCGTGTGGGTGGCCAGTGCTGCTGCCAAAATACTGTCATCTGCCCCACCTACGCACCTGAACGCTTACGCGCTCACACGCCCCTGTGCAGCGCGCCGAGCTGAATGAGCGGGCGGAGGCGATGTCTGCGGCGCTCACGCGGGAGCGGCTGAGCAACACGGTGGACACCACCGGCACCACCATCGGCAAGCGGTGAGGCGGATGCTGCACGCCTGGCGCCTGCCAGCAGCCAAGGGGCAGATGCGCAGAGCTGCAGGCGGGCATGCGCCAGCCTGCTGGTGCCGCACCAGGCCGTCGCAGGCAGGCTGAGGCTGCATCCTCCTTCCCTCCGCAACCGTCCCTCCCCTGCCTCCCTCCACATCTGGCCAGGTATGCGCGCACTGACGAGATTGGCGTGCCCTTTGCCATAACCATCGACTACCAGACGGTGGAGGACAGCACAGCCACGCTGCGCGAGAGGGACTCAACCGCGCAGGTGCGTGTGTGCAGTGTTGCTCTCTTGGGGTGGCCGCCTGCCGTCTTGGCATTGGCAGCTTGCAGCACCAAGCGCTGCACGTGGGGCCGAGCGCTGCGCATGTCATGGCCTGTCTGCCTGCCTGCAGGTGCGCGTGCCGCTTGCAGAGCTGCCGGCCCTAGTGCGGCGGCTGACCGACATGGAGCTGAGCTGGCAGGAGGTGGCGGCCAAGTACCCGGCGCAGGCGCAGGCCGGCGACGAATAAGCGGGCGGCTATGAGAAGGGCAACGTATTGCTTGGGATTGCCAATCATTGTGGTCCGTGCTGGCTGCTTGTTGCGTTCGTCTTCTTGCTGCCTGCCCTGTGTTTGGCTTTGCCGCCGAGTGCTGACAGTCAGTTTGCTTTTTTAATGCAACATCATTCACACGCCGGTCGGGGCAAATACACATGCAGTTCTGGAAGCGCTCCGCGGGTTTGGTTGATCAGTGCACAGTTCACGCACAGAAAACTATCACTCGCTTCTTCAAGCTTGTCATTGACAGAGAGGCCGAGGGCGCAGGTCGCCGCGCTGGGTATGCTGCGCTGGGCGGGAGTGGGAGTAATTTACTGCCCAGCCAAAAACATTTGATCAGCAGCGGCTCCAGTGTGTGTACACGTCTCCCCATGGGTTGAGACGTGCCGTAGTTCCGAAACGCCCTTTGGCCAACCCAGCCTTCAGGCTGCCTGGTCCCCGCACTTCAGCAGCAGCCTCTTAGGGGAGGCCACACGACAGCAGCAGCACGATGCCGAGGGGAGCAAGTGGAAGTTCGAGGGGCTCTGCCACCTCCCGGACGCCACCCAACGACTCAGGTGCGTGGATCCTTGTGTATGGACTGTGCACCTGCAAAGCAGTGGGAGGCAGGCCCCAGGCACGCTGCGCCACCGCCAACACGACCTCACCGTTGCGCCCTCCAGCCCACACCCACATTCCAGTCCATTTACACTGTCGCTGCTGCAGGCTCAAATGCAGCAGCAGCCATCATGCGAGCAGCAGCCAACGCAGCCAGAGCTGCCGCACAGTCTTTGCCACCTGATGAACAGTTGAGCTTGGGCAGTAGGACAATGCCGGTTAAGCTCGACCTGGAGGAGATGTGCAGAACCATGGCTCCCGTGCGGATCACGGTGCAGCTGGCATGCCAGCCAAACATGAGCAGCATCCGCGCCCAGGTTCTGGAATTGCTACGGCAGGCGCTGGCGCAGGGGCGCAGGGGCGCTAGCGCAGGGGCAGGATGTCGATGCCGCTGACCATGTCGGCTGCACTGGCTTGCACTTTGCCGCCATGAAGGGGGACTGCGAGGTGGCGCAGCTGCTGCTGCAGCACCGTGCAGACGTCAATACCGGGGACAGCACGGGTGCAACGCCACTGATTGGAGCAGTGATCAAGCAGCACCAAGACATGGTGCGCCTGCTGCTGGCGGCCGGCGCGGCGCCAGGCAAGAAGGAAGCCCAGGAGGCTGGCAATACTGCGCTGCACATCGCGGCGCAGCACGGGGATGTGGGTATTTTGGAGGAGCTCATTCGCGCTGGGGCGCCAGTCAGCGGCCCGGCTGCCAGGAATAATTTCGGGTTTGAGCCGCTGGCTCATGCAGCAAGCTTTGATCGAGCGCAAGCTGTTGAGGCCCTTTTGGCCGCTGGCGCAGGTGGGGACGGGTGTGTCGTGGAGACGAGGGCCTGTGCAGGATCACCTGAGCAACCTGGCACACGTGGCCCAGCTGTGCCAGGTCCACTTGCAGCTGGCAGCCAGGATGTACACCTGCTTCCTAATGCTGCCCCTTCAACCTGCCCCCTGCAGACTTGAGGGCTGCAAGCCACAAGAATGGCGACTTTGCACTGATGATGGCGGCTCAGTCTGGCAGGATAGCCGCCCTTGCTGCCCTGCTGAAAGCTGGGGCAGATGTGAGACAGGTGGACCGGGAGGGCAACACAGCACTGCATGCAGCTACCCAGTACGGTCAATCTGCCGCCGCGGCACTGCTGCTGGCAGCTGGAGCTTCTCTCTCTGCTACCAACCAGTACGGCGCGACTCCATTTTTCTACGCTGCCGCTGAGACGCCCACAACCACTGGACACCCGGCGCTGGTGAAACGCCTCCTGGCAGACTATGGGGCAGATGTCAACCAGCCTGATTGCTACGGACAATCGCCGCTGGCAGCTGCCAGCGACCCAGAAGTGGTCGCTGCACTGCTGGCGGCAGGCGCAGGTGTGGTGCTGTCTGCCAACCCTGTAATCGCCCTTGTGTGGCTGAGCAAATGGCCAGGGGCCCTGGAAAATGCTCGCACTGCTTCCACCGTTTCTGCAGATTTGAACCACGCCGACCACTGGGGCTTGACCCCCCTTAGCCTTGCCATATTAGACAACAAGCAGGGGAAGGCAGTGCAGCTGATTGCTGCCGGTGCCAACCTGGAGACTCGCCTGCCCGACGGCACCACCATTCTGCAGGCCGCTGTGAGCAGGGGCCAGGAGGCGGTGGTCAGGCAGCTGCTGGCGAGGGGATCAGCAGCGGGCGGGCCCAGCGAGCTGGGGCGTGCTTTGGTGCGGGCAGGTGCTACCGACTCTGAGTGTGCTACCGACTCTGAGGCAGCGACTGCTGGCGGCGCTGCCGGCCAAGCCCCACAGCATGAGGATGCGGTGCGGCGTAAGTGCGCCGCATGCGGCGCTGCAGGCAGGGGCCTGCGCAAGTGTGGCCGGTGCCGCGCGGTTGTGTACTGCGACGCCGTCTGCCAAAAGGCGCACTGGCAGGCCCATAAGCGGAGCTGCCGGCCTCAGGCGGCGGAGTTTTGATCAGTGCACAGTTCATCATCATGCACAGACAACTGTTTACGCGCTTCTTCAGGCATTTTACCCCTGCCTGAACAGTGTACGTTTCATGCACAGACTGCTGATTCGGTTCTGTTCTGCATTTGGCAAGAGCGGCAACTGCCGCGGCGGTCCGCCGCGCTGGGCATGCCGCGCCCTCCTGTCTTTTGCCCTGTAACGATCAATGCGGCCAAATGCGTGCCCATTCGTTTCGGGGATACAAAGGCAGCGAGCTGAGGCCGCTGTTTTTGTTGCCCTGCCATTGATGGGTTGCCGCTCATGAGTGTTTCATCGGAATTTAGCTGACTACATTGTAGTGAGTCAGCTTCGATGGTGATAGTGCGACGGACCTCTCCGCGGCGCGGGGCGACCCGCCTTGCCGCCGTGCTTCTCTGCCTCCTGGGGCTGGGGACGCTGCTAATTGCCAGGCAGTGGAAGGGAGCCATGAATGTTGATGTCCCGCGGCAGGTGTGGCAGTGTTTGCAGTGCCCCCGCCGCTGCCGCCAGCCCGCCGCCGCTGCCCTTTCACCTAGCGAGCTGTTCGTTACATGTGCTTCTACACACCCATGCCGCCCGCACAGCAGCAAGAGCCCGCCGACGACCAGCAGAACCACAGCCACAGTTGGAAGCTTGCCAAAGAGGGCAGGGCAGCTGAGGTGTGGCTCGCTGCGGCCCGCCCGCCCAAGCGGGACATCACTGAGGCTATTAAGCTGCGCTGCCAGGGCACACACGGCACCTGGTGCACCGACTACTACACTCAGCCAGAGGTGCCGGCTGTCACAGCGCGCCGTGGTAGCAAGCTGTGCAGCATGGACTGCAACAAGGCAAGTCTGCGGGCAGCAACGACCTTGCAGCATCGCGCGCCACCCGAGTGCGGCACATTTGTGAGCCATGTTGCAGCACAATGCACCCCAGCTCGCTCAGCTGTCCAGCGCACACCCATGCACCCACGTCTGTGCAGGTCGGCACGTGCAATGCGCTGAGCGGGCAGTGCACGTGCCCAGCAGGCAAGCCTGCTGGCGGGTGTCGCCTGCTGCGTCTGTTTGCGGGGCTGGTGGTGCCGCGGGGCCCGGGGCCACGCTGCTCTGCTGCTCGGGCGCTGGCCGTGTGCGCCTGGGCCAGTCTGAAACCAGCTGCGCAGTGCATTTGCATGCAGGCTGGACCAGCTTCAACTGCATTTTCCCCATGAAGCGACACTGCGCCAACTACCATGTCTCTTGGGGGTTTGAGCGGGGCAGGATGGAGCCCAATCTTAGCATGGGGGTGGGCTGGGAGTCTATCTTCGCCTTCCCCCGCTCTCACTGCGCAGGTGTGGGGTTGGGTTGGGTGGTGGGTGTGAGCGCGCTGGGCGCTTGCACTGAATGCTGCTGCACACTGCTACTGTGTGAGGCGGGCCTCGGGGTTTTGCAACCTAGAGTCCAGATTGAAAGTCCAGCAGGCAACACAGCAGCCCGCTGCCTGCCTGCTGCAACCTGGCTGCAGGATACTGTGACGCCACTGTGGCAGCCTGCTTCTGCCCCTCCAACACAACCTACGGCAGGATACCGCCGCCAGAGGATGCCCCGCTAGGTGTGCTTGGCTGCTCTGGCTGGCAACACATGGAGGCAGCCTGTTCGCTTGTTTCCACCTGGACCGTGGAGCCCATCACTGATGTTGGCTGCTGCTCGGCGCTGCTACGGACCTGCCGCTGTCCCTGCCCTGCAGAAGCCCCGCCGGTGCAGCGCGGCCGCCCGATGGGCCAGTTTTGCCAGCCCAACAAGACGCCGGATGGCCAGGCCACGGCCTGGGGCACCATGGAGCCTGCCGACCTGTTTGGGCCGGAGGGGTGGTGCACGGCTGAGAAGCCCAAGGCGCGCTGCGAGTGCTTCCTGGATGGATGGGGAGGAGCGACCTGCGAGGACCCGTATGAGCAGGTGGGCGCTGCCCCCGGCGGCCTCATGCGGCTCCCAGGGCAGCCCTGGATCGCGTCGGGCGGCCCATGGCGAGCAACACTCCGTCCTAGCCCACATCGTTGCGTGCCCGTGCAGTTCTGTTTCAACCAGTGCAATGGCCGCGGGGAGTGCAACCTGGGCTACTGCAAGTGCGACAAGGGTGAGCGAGTGTGTGGCAGCGGCACGAGTTGCTTGCTCAAGGACCAAGTTGGGCACCTGCGGCTGCCGAGTTGCCGCCGCAGCTAACCTGTGGCGGCATGTGTGCAGGTTGGCATGGCATCGACTGCGCCCACCGCAGCAGCTCGGCCGACGATGAGAACCCGGGCAAGCGCCGCCATCCTGTTATAACTTGTAATGCCACCGCCGGTTGGAACAGGGAGCGGCTGTATGTGTGGGCGTGCCTGCAAGCCTGCGGTTTTGGCTTGGCATGCCCGCGTGTGATGCAGGGCGGCAGGTGGAGCGGCCGTGGATTGCTGACTTTGTGCACACGCCCGCGGCCCAGGACTTCGCCCCCAACGCCACCCGCAAGCGCCCGCTCATCTTTGTGTGCGCATGGCCGCCAGGGGCCGGGCGCGTCTGCTACGGCCGGCCCGAGCACGTGCTGGCGGGCCCCTACCTGCCTCCTGTCTAGCATGCTCGCCTGCCAACCACAGGCACGGTGGCTGCCTGGCTGGCTGCAGGTATGAGACCCCACCCGACTACAACACCCTCATGGTCCAGTACCGCCTGACCTCCAACGAATTCTGCGTACCGCGCCACTTCAGGACCGGCAACACAAGCACCCTGTCAGGCGCGCAGGCCTGCTGCGTCTGCCTGCGGGCGCAGCGCGGCGCCCACCACCTCTGGGGTGTGGGCCCACCATCTCTTGGGATGTGGGCGCACAGAGAGCCGGCTGGCGTTCGTGCGGTGCCATGTGCCGGCCTGTGCCTGCTGCCCACGTGCTGGTGCAGAGTGGACGTATGCGCTGGAGGCCGGTTTCCTGGAGATGCTGCTGCAGAGCGAGCACCGCACCCTGGACCCTGAGGAAGCGGGTGGGGCAGGGCTGTGTGAGACAGACGGGGCAGGCGTTGTCGCATGGAGGCGAGCAGCTGGGAGCGCCCCCTGGAAGCAGCCGGGGCAACATAAACGGGGCTGGACTGATTCCTTCACACGCCTCCTCCTCCCCCCGCAGACTTCTTCTATGTTCCCGTCTTCACATCGTGCTTCATTAATCCCGTCAGGTGGCTGGGGCCTTGCGCACGCATCATGCACGCCATGACTACACAGGCGACAACTACAAAGGCCACATGCCATCTCTGGCTCGCACACCCACCTGCCTGCAGGGACGGCGCCGACAGCCTGCGGGACTTCTTCTATGGCGTGAGCCACAATCGGGTGCAGGGAGCCGCCAACATGCTGCTGGAGGCGTACCACTGGGTGCAGGCCATGTTTCCCTACTGGTGAGCCGGCGGTGGCGCTCGCTGCCCTTTGCCGCATGCTGCCCCCGCGCCCCTGCCCGCCACCTGCACGCCCACCCCGCCTGTGCAGGGAGCGGCGTGGTGGGCGGGACCACATCTGGCTGGTCACACACGACGAGGCCAGCTGCTGGGTGCCCGCCGCCATCAGGAGCACCAGCATCATCCTGAGCCACTGGGGCCGCATGGACGCCCACCACACCAGCGGCACCGGCTACTCGGCTGACGTCTACTCCAACGATGTGACGCACCCGCAGTTCGAGCCAGACGGGTTCCTGGGCAAGCTGAACCTGACGCAGCCCTGCTACGACCCGGTCAAGGTGAGTGTGTGTGGTCTGTGTGTGTGTGGGAGGGGGGGGGGGGGGGGGGGGGGGGGGCCTTTTTGTTTTGGGGGGCATC